ATTTCATTACAGCAATAAAATTTCTAGTAATAAGTGATCTAAGGGAATTAACCATAAAAAATATTTTCCTAGTATACAAGAATAGTGCGCCGTAAGTTTAAATAAAAAAATTCTATAAAAGAGTTATCAATCTTGTGTCAGATAATCTTTAAAATTATTAGGAAATTACCGATAAATTTTTTTGATTTCTAGTTTGCATTTTAAATATTTATATTTTGTAGGCCTCTCTTTGATTTTATTTTTTTGCGAAATGACATTTCTAGTGATAAATGGTCTAAGGGAATTCACCATGAAAATAGCTCTTTTACTTGTATACAAGAGTAGTGCGCCGTTCACAAGTTAAAAAAATTTCTATCAAAGAGTAATTAATTATTTGACCATGTGCCAGATAATTTTTTAATAATTAGCAAACCACCAATTATATCAATTACTAGGTAGCATGTGGAATATTTATTTTAGTCGAGCATGACTTCTGTCAGTCAGATATGGGCGGCTTTAGCCTGAATCATGCAAGCGTTGTGTTCTCGTATTGTCCATCTCCGTTCAGCTTAAGGATCAGTGTTTCTTACAGATTTTTTTCTCCTCGGGGGGGGGGGGGGAGGGGGGCGCGGCGGTCAACATTTTCCGGCGGGGCGGACACTCGAAAAAGTATGTTTTAGAATCATACGAGTCGGGTGTGTGTCTTAACTTCCGCCAAACCCTAAGACTGACTCACCAAACCCCTGGAATTCCACCGAAGAAAAATGTGCCTAATATAACAACAAATAAAAACAGGATAGCAGAACTCTTGTTTTACTAAATCAAAAAACAATTACACTGTTACCTCCCTTAGACCATGTTTGAGACACTGGCGACATTTGATTTAGTCTAGATAATATGATATATGATAATATCTTCGCTCTGGATCTTTTTAAATTGTTAGGCTTAAATAGAATAATTTCATTTCCTTAAAACTATTTGTTTGTTTTTAAATTTCGCATTTTTTGTTTGTTTGAAGTTGGATGTGTAGGCCTCTATAGTATATTTTAATATTTAAATTGTGAATTGAGCAGATTTGTTTCATAGCTTTAGATCTAGACTAGTAATCTACAATTTTATGTTTTTTATTTAGTTGACAGTGCCTGATTGTTTGAAACTTTGTTTTAACCTTCTTTTAATACTTAAATGCAGCTATTTAATTCATTTAACTTCTAAGATACATTCATCTCCGATTACAATGCAAGAGTAGGGCCTAGATCTATCTAGATTTATTTTTAATATGGCAGGAAACAGATTGGTACCGCAAAATGCATATTCGGTCTTCGCCATTCATAAACTTTCTAACCAGACATCGTTCGGGGATTTTGTTTATACTGATAAATAGAGCTATGTTTTTACAAGCTTCGTTAGCAACATTTTTGTGGAATACGTTTTTTATGACATTTTGTGCCGCGGCGAAGGATGCGAAGTATGCAAATCTAGACGGAATGGATCTACTTGGAAAGTACGTGTACTGCACTAATAAGGTAAGAAATAATATTTTGTAAAAATAACTATTATTTTTTTATGGATTTTTCATTAGAAATGATTGCTGTAAATTATGAAAGTAAAAAAAAGTATATTTGAATGCGTTTTTTACTTTAATTTGAACAAAATGACTGCCGAAAATTACGACACATCGGCGTCGCTGAAAGCGGGAATTTCAGTTAATTTTTTACGGATATAAAATTGTATTTTTTTACTCCGAAGCATGTATTTAAATAACAGTTAAGTTAAATCTATTTAATTCTGTAAAATATAATTATTATTTTGCCGTAGATACTTTTATTTTTATTTTTAATGATTTTCTGTCGCGGAAAATCGGTATTCGCACCATGCACGCACACGTAGTAAAACTAGACTTATCTTTAAAACACGAGAATCTTGAGTACACTGCGAATAACAAAGTTTTTAAATGTTAGTTTACTTTTGACTTTAAGCCATTTGTTTTAAATCGAAATTAATTGATAATGTAATTATTTCAAAGTAAAAACTTTCCGTCTGAAATTGGCTTCTAACCTTCGCCACTGAACCAGCCTACGCACGACATTCGCGCGAGTCTGTTTCTTCGCAATAGTCTGTATAGTGTCGAGGGCTAATCCTAAAAAGAACAGAGTCCTCACTAATGTAATGTTTATTAAAATTAGGTACAATTGTTGGAACACATGAGAAATAACAAATTTAAATTTCTTCAAATCTATAGCCAAAAGAAAGTAGAACTTTATAACTCTGTAAATTATGAATCGAGTGACGGCTGTCGTGAAAACGGGAGCCATTGTACTCTTTTTTTTAGGGTGACCTACTTTTATTATATAAATTTAAAATTCGAAGTTTTGATAAGCAGCTGAGTAGCTGAATACGCATGCGATATGGCTGGCACGTTTTGGGATAGGGATCGAGTACACCGTAGAAATTTTTTTTTTTAGAACTACGCGTATTTTTTTTTTTAAATCAAAAGATACTTACATATTAGCTGTGGATTTCAATTTCATTACAGAACTAATCACTAACTTTAGTTTTTAAAAGTGATTTTGCTTCTAGATCTAGCGTATTTTCAAAATTACGTAGATTCTAGATCTAGATCGATTTTACTAACTATTTGACAAACGTGTCAGTAAAATGAGGTCACCGCTTCCAGATTCTTAGGTTTTAATTATGTTTGTCATTTTGATCTATTATAAGTAGCATTAAAACTACTGCATCTATCATCAACATTGTTTTTATAGGCCAGTTCTAATGATACATTCTGTTCATTACCAATTCTAATGAAATCGTATCAGGCCCTAACTAACACCCTGTTCACTGACATTATTTGAATGAGGCCACAGACAGTCGTAACTTTAAATTAATTTATAAAGTACTAAACAATTATAATTAGCCATGTAAATGCTGCAACTATAATAAAAATTGGCATATAGACATATTTTACTAATAATATTTTTTATATAGACCTTCTATATTTAACTCTGTTATTTTTTTCTTCCCCAGAGTGTTTTTAAAAGCCATAATTTTGAACATTTTTTAAAGGGGATAGCGGTCGTTTTTTTTTCAAGAATAATTATAGAAATAAGCTATAAACTGGTATATTTTGTAAAGTTTGACATAATTACAAATAAATTTATGCCTAAGTGACATTTCTGTGTAATTATATTGTTAGTTTTGTGAATTTCGTGGATTTTAGACCTTACTACATTTAGATGTAAAAAAAAAAATGTCATTTGAGTGAGTGTGGTTAATCTAAATTTTGAACGTGATGTAAATGTCTAGTGCTATTAATTTTTATATTTTTGAATTCCTCGATTGTTAAGCAACAAAATTGATATATAATATGTCAATATTTGTTACTTTGAAAATTGGCGAAAATCGACCCTAAAAGTAGATGTTTGAGAGTTGAATCTGTTTCCTGCCATATAGATCTAGATCTAGACTAATTTATTAGACATTAGACCGTTACGCTGTATTACCCAACCAACGCCAAAAAAGTTACAGTCGACCATGGACTAAGAAGGGGAATAGAATCTTCTAGATCTAGAATCTAATTGTCTTTTCACTCTTTAAGAGACTGCAATTAAAGCTGCTGATAATGTCAGCCTGATATGCATGACTTAAAACACTCCCTCCCCCAGATTTTCTTCCAGGCACCTCTTTGGGAAGGCTCTGCCCCCCCCCCCCCCCTCCCCCCCCCCCCCCCCACATAAAACATACATACTTCTACCAGTGTCTGTGTAAATTTTAGTTCCCCCACCCCTAAATATCAAGTGCCACCCCCCACCGCCCCTGGGAGAAAAAAGTCTGGAAGAAACACATGCCCCCCCCCCCCCCCTCAGTGTTTTTAGTTAACTCGCATGTACTGTTGACTTCTTTACAATCTAATTAATTCTAATTGATACAAATTGGGAAATAAAGCAATTATTTTAAAAAACCTTTATAATAAGCAAGGGGGGGGGATTTTAACAATGATAGAATCTTCTTTAAGGGGATGTAGGTTACTGGTAGTTAACTAAGATACACACATAACTTGATGCTAACCCCAACCCTAGTCCTACAATATGCCTAACCCTAATTTTCTAAACTATTCAAGAATACACTAACAACAACCTAATACTTTGTAATACACTTATTTTCAGAAGCCTCTATTATCGGACATCTGTATCTTAAATCATCCAATAGGCTTTTAATGCACTAAAAATATTAAAATATGAAATAAAAAAGCAAACTTGCTTTCTATAATAAAAGCATTGGTCGGTCAAATATATTAGGCCCTATATAGGTCTATGGTATATAATATATATGAGATCTTGTGAGCGACCTATGATTTTTTTTATAAAGAAAGCAAGTTTGTTTTATTTTCTTATTTTCAGCAAATGTAAAAGCTTATTATAATAAAGTTTTTTGAAAAGTTGTTCTATTTTTTGAAGTTGTCTAGTCGTATTTTTTAATATATTTAAAATTGATACCTACTGATGACCTAGGGTGCTAGTCAGTTTCTATATTATTATAGAAGGAAATTACCCGTTTAAAAAATAAACACTGAAATTAAAAGACTTCTGTTATTACAAAATTGACACAAATTTTATTAGACTCTTAAGACAACATAATTTTAATTAAATTACTCAACATCAATTAATTTATCTAAAACTGAGTAGTCCTATATCAGTATATATTAACTCCATAATTAGGCCTGCAACTTCATTTATTTTTAAGCTTAAGCTATAACTCATCATCATCTTTTTCCTCTTGTGTCCATGACACATGGGCCCCACAGAAAGCTCCCTCCACTTCTGTCAGCCTTCAGCAATTTTCCTCACAGTCCCCCAAAACAATCCTGCCTAGGCCTACTTGTAGCATTTATCTGAAGACTTCGTTCAATTCATACGATTAATTTGATGGTAAAATTAACTTTGATCTGAAGACTTGGTTCAATTACTACAATTAATTTGATCTTTAAATTAACTTTGAGCTCATTGTGGCACATAAGATATTAACAGACACAAAATTTCTTGTATAACAAAAATGTATTTATTTATAAAAACTTTTTATAACAGAAATAATACAATCATTCAAGGATCACACACAAAGTCTTTAGCACTTCTAAAGCACTCTGGTGTAACAGACCCTATATTCTAGGACCAATCTGTCCAAAATGTCCACCAAAATATCACCAGATGATCAACACCTTTACTAGAACCCAGTTTTTACCAAAAATCTTTCTAATATTAAGATTAAGAGAGGTTTAAAGCAAGCAAAGACACACAAAAAAAGTGTCAGGGTTCCCATTAATATTTTGTATTCCCATTTTTCTTTTGTATTCCCATTAATCTTTTGTATTTGCATTTTTCTTTCTTCCTCAAATTATTTTTAAAAAGTTATGCCTCTGAGTTATGTCTATCAAGTGGATGACTTGTTTAGGTTGAAAATTGTTTAGGTTTAAAATTGTTTAGGTTCAAATTTGTAAAGGTTCAAATTTGTTAAGGTTGAAACTTGTTTAGGCTGAAACTTGTTTAGGTTGAAACTTGTTTAGGTTGAAACTTGTTTAGGTTGAAACTTGTTTAGGTTGATGACTTGTTTAGGTTGAAACTTGTTTAGGCTGAAACTTGTTTAGGTTGATGACTTGTTTAGGTTGAAACTTGTTTAGGCTGAAACTTGTTTAGGCTGAAACTTGTTTAGGTTGAAACTTGTTTAGGTTGATGACTTGTTTAGGTTGAAACTTGTTTAGGCTGAAACTTGTTTAGGTTGAAACTTGTTTAGGTTGATGATTTGTTTAGGTTGAAACTTGTTTAGGTTGATGACTTGTTTAGGTTGAAACTTGTTTAGGCTGAAACTTGTTTAGGTTGAAACTTGTTTAGGCTGAAACTTGTTTAGGTTGAAACTTGTTTAGGTTGATGATTTGTTTAGGTTGAAACTTGTTTAGGTTGATGACTTTTTTAGGTTGAAACTTGTTTAGGCTGAAACTTGTTTAGGTTGATGACTTGTTTAGGTTGAAACTTGTTTAGGCTGAAACTTGTTTAGGTTGAAACTTGTTTAGGTTGAAACTTGTTTAGGTTGATGACTTGTTTAGGCTGAAACTTGTTTAGGCTGATGATTTGTTTAGGCTGAAACTTGTTTAGGCTGAAACTTGTTTAGGTTGAAACTTGTTTAGGCTGAAACTTGTTTAGGTTGATGACTTGTTTAGGTTGAAACTTGTTTAGGCTGAAACTTGTTTAGGTTGAAACTTGTTTAGGTTGAAACTTGTTTAGGTTGATGACTTGTTTAGGCTGAAACTTGTTTAGGCTGATGATTTGTTTAGGCTGAAACTTGTTTAGGTTGATGATTTGTTTAGGCTGAAACTTGTTTAGGTTGATGACTTGCTGATGTAAAAATTAGGCAGCAGACTTTGTGGTCTTTAAGTTAAATCCTCCGCCTGTGAACCTGGGGGCGTCTGTTCTCTGGGAGATGATGGCTGGACCTTCTGCCTGCAGCATGGCCCGCTCACGCTCCCTGCAAGAGACCAAAAGTTTAATGGTGCTGTATGGCTGCTCAGACAGTAGTGGCGCCTCCCCCCCCCCCCGTCAGTAGTGGTGTGTCCCCATACAGTAGTGGTGTGTCCCCATACAGAAGGGGTGTGTCCCCATACAGTAGTGGTGTGTCCCCATACAGTAGTGGTGTGTCCCCCCCATACAGTAGTGGTGTGTCCCCCCCATACAGTAGTGGTGTGTCCCCCATACAGTAGTGGTGTGTCCCCCCCATACAGTAGTGGTGGCTCCCCCATACAGTAGTGGTGTGTCCCCCATACAGTAGTGGTGTGTCCCCATACAGTAGTGGTGTGTCCCCATACAGTAGTGGTGTGTCCCCATACAGTAGTGGTGTGTCCCCATACAGTAGTGGTGTGTCCCCATACAGTAGTGGTGTGTCCCCATACAGTAGTGGTGTGTCCCCATACAGTAGTGGTGTGTCCCCATACAGTAGTGGTGTGTCCCCCATACAGTAGTGGTGTGTCCCCATACAGTAGTGGTGTGTCCCCCCCATACAGTAGTGGTGTGTCCCCATACAGTGGTGGTGTGTCCCCATACAGTAGTGGTGTGTCCCCCATACAGTAGTGGCTCCCCCATACAGTAGTGGTGTGTCCCCCATACAGTAGTGGTGTGTCCCCATACAGTAGTGGTGTGTCCCCCATACAGTAGTGGTGTGTCCCCATACAGTAGTGGTGTGTCCCCCATACAGTAGTGGTGTGTCCCCATACAGTAGTGGTGTGTCCCCCATACAGTAGTGGTGTGTCCCCCCCATACAGTAGTGGTGTGTCCCCCATACAGTAGTGGTGTGTCCCCATACAGTAGTGGTGTGTCCCCCCCATACAGTAGTGGTGTGTCCCCCCCATACAGTAGTGGTGTGTCCCCATACAGTAGTGGTGTGTCCCCCATACAGTAGTGGTGTGTCCCCAACAGTAGTGGTGTGTCCCCATACAGTGGTGGTGTGTCCCCCATACAGTAGTGGTGTGTCCCCAACAGTAGTGGTGTGTCCCCCATACAGTAGTGGTGTGTCCCCCATACAGTAGTGGTGTGTCCCCAACAGTAGTGGTGTGTCCCCATACAGTAGTGGTGTGTCCCCATACAGTAGTGGTGTGTCCCCCATACAGTAGTGGTGTGTCCCCATACAGTGGTGGTGTGTCCCCCATACAGTAGTGGTGTGTCCCCATACAGTAGTGGTGTGTCCCCATACAGTAGTGGTGTGTCCCCATACAGTAGTGGTGTGTCCCCCATACAGTAGTGGCTCCCCCATACAGTAGTGGTGTGTCCCCCATACAGTAGTGGTGTGTCCCCATACAGTAGTGGTGTGTCCCCCATACAGTAGTGGCTCCCCCATACAGTAGTGGTGTGTCCCCCATACAGTAGTGGTGTGTCCCCATACAGTAGTGGTGTGTCCCCCATACAGTAGTGGCTCCCCCATACAGTAGTGGTGTGTCCCCCATACAGTAGTGGTGTGTCCCCATACAGTAGTGGTGTGTCCCCATACAGTAGTGGTGTGTCCCCCATACAGTAGTGGCTCCCCCATACAGTAGTGGTGTGTCCCCATACAGTGGTGGTGTGTCCCCCATACAATAGTGGTGTGTCCCCATACAGTAGTGGTGTGTCCCCCATACAGTAGTGGTGTGTCCCCATACAGTAGTGGTGGCTCCCCCATACAGTAGTGGTGTGTCCCCCATACAGTAGTGGTGTGTCCCCCCCCCATACAGTAGTGGTGTGTCCCCATACAGTAGTGGTGTGTCCCCATACAGTAGTGGTGTGTCCCCATACAGTAGTGGTGTGTCCCCATACAGTAGTGGTGTGTCCCCATACAGTAGTGGTGTGTCCCCATACAGTAGTGGTGTGTCCCCCCCCATACAGTAGTGGTGTGTCCCCATACAGTAGTGGTGTGTCCCCATACAGTAGTGGTGTGTCCCCATACAGTAGTGATGTGTCCCCATACAGTAGTGGTGTGTCCCCATACAGTAGTGGTGTGTCCCCATACAGTAGTGGTGTGTCGTCCCCCCCAATACAGTAGTGGTGTGTCCCCATACAGTAGTGGTGTGTCCCCCATACAGTAGTGGTGTGTCCCCATACAGTAGTGGTGTGTCCCCATACAGTAGTGGTGTGTCCCCATACAGTAGTGGTGTGTCCCCATACAGTAGTGGTGTGTCCCCATACAGTAGTGGTGTGTCCCCCCCCCCATACAGTAGTGGTGTGTCCCCATACAGTAGTGGTGTGTCCCCATACAGTAGTGGTGTGTCCCCATACAGTAGTGGTGTGTCCCCCATACAGTAGTGGTGTGTCCCCATACAGTAGTGGTGTGTCCCCCATACAGTAGTGGTGTGTCCCCATACAGTAGTGGTGTGTCCCCATACAGTAGTGGTGTGTCCCCATACAGTAGTGGTGTGTCCCCATACAGTAGTGGTGTGTCCCCATACAGTAGTGGTGTGTCCCCCATACAGTAGTGGTGTGTCCCCATACAGTTGTGGTGTGTCCCCATACAGTAGTGGTGTGTCCCCCATACAGTAGTGGTGTGTCCCCATACAGTAGTGGCTCCCCCATACAGTAGTGGTGTGTCCCCCATACAATAGTGGTGTGTCCCCATACAGTAGTGGTGTGTCCCCATACAGTAGTGGTGTGTCCCCCCCATACAGTAGTGGTGTGTCCCCCCCCCATACAGTAGTGGTGTGTCCCCATACAGTAGTGGTGTGTCCCCATACAGTAGTGGTGTGTCCCCATACAGTAGTGGTGTGTCCCCATACAGTAGTGGCTCCCCCATACAGTAGTGGTGTGTCCCCCCCATACAGTAGTGGTGTGTCCCCATACAGTAGTGGTGTGTCCTCCCCATACAGTAGTGGTGTGTCCCCCCCCATACAGTAGTGGTGTGTCCCCATACAGTAGTGGTGTGTCCCCATACAGTAGTGGTGTGTCCCCATACAGTAGTGGCTCCCCCATACAGTAGTGGTGTGTCCCCATACAGTAGTGGTGTGTCCCCCCCATACAGTAGTGGTGTGTCCCCCATACAGTAGTGGTGTGTCCCCATACAGTAGTGGTGTGTCCCCATACAGTAGTGGTGTGTCCCCATACAGTAGTGGTGTGTCCCCCATACAGTAGTGGTGTGTCCCCATACAGTAGTGGCTCCCCCATACAGTAGTGGTGTGTCCCCCATACAGTAGTGGTGTGTCCCCCATACAGTAGTGGTGTGTCCCCCCCCATACAGTAGTGGTGTGTCCCCATACAGTAGTGGTGTGTCCCCATACAGTAGTGGTGTGTCCCCATACAGTAGTGGTGTGTCCCCATACAGTAGTGGTGTGTCCCCCATACAGTAGTGGTGTGTCCCCCATACAGTAGTGGTGTGTCCCCCATACAGTAGTGGTGTGTCCCCATACAGTAGTGGTGTGTCCCCATACAGTAGTGGTGTGTCCCCATACAGTAGTGGTGTGTCCCCATACAGTAGTGGTGTGTCCCCCATACAGTAGTGGTGTGTCCCCCCCCATACAGTAGTGGTGTGTCCCCCATACAGTAGTGGTGTGTCCCCCCATACAGTAGTGGTGTGTCCCCATACAGTAGTGGTGTGTCCCCATACAGTAGTGGTGTGTCCCCCATACAGTAGTGGCTCCCCCATACAGTAGTGGTGTGTCCCCCATACAGTAGTGGTGTGTCCCCATACAGTAGTGGTGTGTCCCCATACAGTAGTGGTGTGTCCCCCATACAGTAGTGGTGTGTCCCCCATACAGTAGTGGTGTGTCCCCATACAGTAGTGGTGTGTCCCCCATACAGTAGTGGCTCCCCCATACAGTAGTGGTGTGTCCCCATACAGTAGTGGTGTGTCCCCCCGTCAGTGGTGGTGTGTCCCCATACAGTAGTGGTGTGTCCCCCATACAGTAGTGGTGTGTCCCCATACAGTAGTGGTGGCTCCCCCATACAGTAGTGGCGCCCCCCTCCCCCATCAGTAGTGGTGTGTCCCCATACAGTAGTGGTGTGTCCCCCCCATACAGTAGTGGTGTGTCCCCCCCATACAGTAGTGGTGTGTCCCCCCATACAGTAGTGGTGTGTCCCCCATACAGTAGTGGTGTGTCCCCATACAGTAGTGGTGTGTCCCCCATACAGTAGTGGTGTGTCCCCATACAGTAGTGGTGTGTCCCCCCCATACAGTAGTGGTGTGTCCCCATACAGTAGTGGTGTGTCCCCATACAGTAGTGGTGTGTCCCCCATACAGTAGTGGCTCCCCCATACAGTAGTGGTGTGTCCCCCATACAGTAGTGGTGTGTCCCCATACAGTAGTGGTGTGTCCCCCCCATACAGTAGTGGTGTGTCCCCCCCATACAGTAGTGGTGTGTCCCCCCCATACAGTAGTGGTGTGTCCCCCCCATACAGTAGTGGTGTGTCCCCCATACAGTAGTGGTGTGTCCCCATACAGTAGTGGTGTGTCCCCCATACAGTAGTGGTGTGTCCCCATACAGTAGTGGTGTGTCCCCCATACAGTAGTGGTGTGTCCCCATACAGTAGTGGTGTGTCCCCATACAGTAGTGGTGTGTCCCCATACAGTAGTGGCTCCCCCATACAATAGTGGTGTGTCCCCATACAGTAGTGGCTCCCCCATACAGTAGTGGTGTGTCCCCATACAGTAGTGGTGTGTCCCCATACAGTAGTGGTGTGTCCCCATACAGTAGTGGTGTGTCCCCCATACAGTAGTGGTGTGTCCCCATACAGTAGTGGTGTGTCCCCATACAGTAGTGGTGTGTCCCCCCCCCCCATACAGTAGTGGTGTGTCCCCATACAGTAGTGGTGTGTCCCCATACAGTAGTGGTGTGTCCCCCCCCCCCCCATACAGTAGTGGTGTGTCCCCCATACAGTAGTGGTGTGTCCCCATACAGTAGTGGTGTGTCCCCCATACAGTAGTGGTGTGTCCCCATACAGTAGTGGTGTGTCCCCATACAGTAGTGGTGTCCCCCCTGCCCCCAAACAGTAGTGGTGTGTCCCCATACAGTAGTGGCTCCCCCATACAGTAGTGGTGTGTCCCCATACAGTAGTGGTGTGTCCCCATACAGTAGTGGTGTGTCCCCATACAGTAGTGGTGTGTCCCCCCCATACAGTAGTGGTGTGTCCCCATACAGTAGTGGTGTGTCCCCATACAGTAGTGGCGCCCCCCTCCCCCATCAGTAGTGGTGTGTCCCCATACAGTAGTGGTGTGTCCCCCCCCATACAGTAGTGGTGTGTCCCCATACAGTAGTGGTGTGTCCCCATACAGTAGTGGTGTGTCCCCATACAGTAGTGGTGTGTCCCCATACAGTAGTGGTGTGTCCCCCATACAGTAGTGGTGTGTCCCCATACAGTAGTGGTGTGTCCCCCATACAGTAGTGGTGTGTCCCCCCCATACAGTAGTGGTGTGTCCCCCCCCCATACAGTAGTGGTGTGTCCCCATACAGTAGTGGTGTGTCCCCCATACAGTAGTGGTGTGTCCCCCCCATACAGTAGTGGTGTGTCCCCCATACAGTAGTGGTGTGTCCCCCCCCCATACAGTGGTGGTGTGTCCCCATACAGTGGTGGTGTGTCCCCATACAGTAGTGGTGTGTCCCCATACGGTAGTGGTGTGTCCCCATACAGTAGTGGTGTGTCCCCCATACAGTAGTGGTGTGTCCCCCATACAGTAGTGGTGTGTCCCCCATACAGTAGTGGTGTGTCCCCCATACAGTAGTGGTGTGTCCCCCATACAGTAGTGGTGTGTCCCCCATACAGTAGTGGTGTGTCCCCCATACAGTAGTGGTGTGTCCCCCATACAGTAGTGGTGTGTCCCCCATACAGTAGTGGTGTGTCCCCATACAGTAGTGGTGTGTCCCCCCCCCATACAGTAGTGGTGTGTCCCCCATACAGTAGTGGTGTGTCCCCCATACAGTAGTGGTGTGTCCCCATACAGTAGTGGTGTGTCCCCATACAGTAGTGGTGTGTCCCCCCCCCCATACAGTAGTGGTGTGTCCCCCATACAGTAGTGGTGTGTCCCCATACAGTAGTGGTGTGTCCCCCATACAGTAGTGGTGTGTCCCCCCCATACAGTAGTGGTGTGTCCCCATACAGTAGTGGTGTGTCCCCCCCATACAGTAGTGGTGTGTCCCCCCCATACAGTAGTGGTGGCTCCCCCATACAGTAGTGGTGTGTCCCCCATACAGTAGTGGTGTGTCCCCATACAGTAGTGGTGTGTCCCCATACAGTAGTGGTGTGTCCCCATACAGTAGTGGTGTGTCCCCATACAGTAGTGGTGTGTCCCCCCCATACAGTAGTGGTGTGTCCCCCATACAGTAGTGGTGTGTCCCCCCCCCATACAGTAGTGGTGTGTCCCCATACAGTAGTGGTGTGTCCCCATACAGTAGTGGTGTGTCCCCCATACAGTAGTGGTGTGTCCCCATACAGTAGTGGTGTGTCCCCCATACAGTAGTGGCGCCCCCCTCCCCTATCAGTAGTGGTGTGTCCCCATACAGTAGTGGTGTGTCCCCCCCCATACAGTAGTGGTGTGTCCCCATACAGTAGTGGTGTGTCCCCATACAGTAGTGGTGTGTCCCCCATACAGTAGTGGTGTGTCCCCATACAGTAGTGGTGTGTCCCCATACAGTAGTGGTGTGTCCCCCCCCATACAGTAGTGGTGTGTCCCCATACAGTAGTGGTGTGTCCCCATACAGTAGTGGTGTGTCCCCCCCCATACAGTAGTGGTGTGTCCCCATACAGTAGTGGTGTGTCCCCATACAGTAGTGGTGTGTCCCCCCCCATACAGTAGTGGTGTGTCCCCATACAGTAGTGGCTCCCCCATACACTGGTTGTGGCCATACTATCAGCTTGGATGTTTTGATTCGTCAATTACTATGTGTTTATAGTATTGATGTCGATGATGTAATGGTGTCTGTCATTTAATGGTGACTGTGATGTAATGGTGAAAATCTTACTTTTGCTGCTGTTCTTTTTTCTTCTGCATAAAATATTTCTTTTTCACCTCCTGCAGTTCTCTGGCTATCCGTTCTATCTCGTACTTGTACTCCGCCACCTGTGCCTCGTACATGTTCAGCTCTGAGGCCATGCCCTACAGGGGACCAGACAGACATACAGCATATTAGCTTCAGCAACTGGACTAGGTTGCTATAAAACTAGCTCCACATTAGCTTCAGCAACTGGACTAGGTTGCTATAAAACTAGCTATACATTAGCTTCAGCAACTGGACTAGGTTGCTATAAAACTAGCTATAGATTAGCTTCAGCAACTGGACTAAGTTGCTATAAAACTAGCTATAGATTAGCTTCAGCAACTGGACTAGGTTGCTATAAAACTAGCTATACATTAGCTTCAGCAACTGGACTAGGTTGCTATAAAACTAGCTATACATTAGCTTCAGCAACTGGACTAGGTTGCTATAAAACTAGCTATACATTAGCTTCAGCAACTGGACTAGGTTGCTATAAAACTAGCTCCACATTAGCTTCAGCAACTGGACTAGGTTGCTATAAAACTAGCTCCACATTAGCTTCAGCAACTGGACTAGGTTGCTATAAAACTAGCTCCACATTAGCTTCAGCAACTGGACTAGGTTGCTATAAAACTAGCTATACATTAGCTTCAGCAACTGGACTAGGTTGCTATAAAACTAGCTATACATTAGCTTCAGCAACTGGACTAGGTTGCTATAAAACTAGCACATTAACGTTCAGGACAATTCTGCTTTAAGCACCTTCAGTATAATGCTGACAGTTGTACCATGAGCAGGTCTAAAGCTTAAAGTCAGCCAAAGGCACCCACCTTCTACCATGAGCAGGTCTAAAGCTTAAAGTCAGCCAAAAGCACCCACCTTCTACCATGAGCAGGTCTAAAGTCAGCCAAAAGCACCCACCTTCTACCATGAGCAGGTCTAAAGTCAGCCAAAAGCACCCACCTTCTACCATGAGCAGGTCTAAAGTCAGCCAAAAGCACCCACCTTCTACCATGAGCAGGTCTAAAGTCAGCCAAAAGCACCCACCTTCATCTGCTTGGTTTTTTCCTTCAATGTCTGCTGGTATATGGCCAGCTGTTCTGCCACCTCAGGGCCAGGCTGGCGCGCCAGAATGTGCTTGAGCTCCAGGTAAAGTTTCTCCTTCTCCTGGATGAGCAGCTCCTTCTCCACCACCTCCTCCGTCTTCTGGATCAGCCTCTTCTGCAGGGTCTGGATCTTCTGGATCATCTCAAACGTGGCCGGGTCGCTGCCCTGGTGGCAGCAAACAAACTCAATTACTCAACCTTTTCTTTTGTCAACTTGTATTCAAAAACATCCACTCTGATCCACCAAACATCCACTCTGATCCATCAAAAATCCACTCTGATCCACCAAACATCCACTCTGATCCACCAAACATCTGATCCACCAAACATACACTGTGATCCACCAAACATCCACTCTGATCCACCAAACATCCACTGTGATCCACCAAACATCCACTGTGATCCACCAAACATCCACTCTGATCCACCAAACATCCACTCTGATCCACCAAACATCTGATCCACCAAACATACACTCTGATCCACCAAACATACACTCTGATCCACCAAACATACACTCTGATCCACCAAACATACACTCTGATCCACCAAACATCCACTCTGATCCACCAAACATCCACTCTGATCCACCAAACATCCACTCTGATCCACCAAACATCTGATCCACCAAACATCCACTCTGATCCACCAAACATCCACTCTGATCCACCAAACATCTGATCCACCAAACATACACTCTGATCCACCAAACATACACTCTGATCCACCAAACATACACTCTGATCCACCAAACATCCACTCTGATCCACCAAACATCCACTCTGATCCACCAAACATCCACTCTGATCCACCAAACATACACTCTGATCCACCAAACATACACTCTGATCCACCAAACATACACTCTGATCCACCAAACATCCACTCTGATCCACCAAACATCCACTCTGATCCACCAAACATCCACTCTGATCCACCAAACATCCACTCTGATCCACCAAACATCTGATCCACCAAACATACACTGTGATCCACCAAACATCCACTCTGATCCACCAAACATCCACTGTGATCCACCAAACATCCACTGTGATCCACCAAACATCCACTCTGATCCACCAAACATCCACTCTGATCCACCAAACATCTGATCCACCAAACATACACTCTGATCCACCAAACATACACTCTGATCCACCAAACATACACTCTGATCCACCAAACATACACTCTGATCCACCAAACATCCACTCTGATCCACCAAACATCCACTGTGATCCACCAAACATCCACTCTGATCCACCTACCTCAAGCTTCCTCCACCTGTGGATGTTCATTGGATTCTCCAGTTCCTCCTCCAGAGCCTTACACCGTGTCCTCTCCCTCAAGAGTTCCCTCTGGATGTGGTACACCTCGCGCCTGGTGAAGCAGACCTCAGTTCTCATTGGTGTGTTTGTTGCTTGTGTTTATTGCTTGTGTTTGTTAGTCATGTGTTTGTTGCTTGTGTTTATTGCTTGTGTTTGTTGCTTGTGTTTGTTAGTCATGTGTTTGAGCTTTTCAAAACTTAATTTTATATTGTGTGTGGAGGGTTAGTATTGTACAGTACACTTGTGAATTCCTTGTGTATAATTTATGTACAGGATGCAGGATGACCTTCTGACCTACCTCAAATCTTGGCCACACTTTTCTGCAGGATGACCTTCTGACCTACCTCAAATCTTCAACGTTGGCCACACTTTTCTGCAGGATGACCTTCTGACCTACCTCAAATCTTCAACATTGGCCACTTTTCTGCAGGATGACCTTCTGACCTACCTCAAATCTTCAACATTGGCCACACTTTTCTGCAGGATGACCTTCTGACCTACCTCAAATCTTCAACATTGGCCACACTTTTCTGCAGGATGACCTTCTGACCTACCTCAAATCTTCAACGTTGGCCACACTTTTCTGCAGGATGACCTTCTGACCTACCTCAAATCTTCAACATTGGCCACACTTTTCTGCAGGATGACCTTCTGACCTACCTCAAATCTTCAACGTTGGCCACACTTTTCTGCAGGATGACCTTCTGACCTACCTCAAATCTTCAACATTGGCCACACTTTTCTGCAGGATGACCTTCTGACCTACCTCAAATCTTCAACGTTGGCCACACTTTTCTGCAGGATGACCTTCTGACCTACCTCAAATCTTCAACGTTGGCCACACTTTTCTGCAGGATGACCTTCTGACCTACCTCAAATCTTCAACGTTGGCCACACTTTTCTGCAGGATGACCTTCTGACCTACCTCAAATCTTCAACGTTGGCCACACTTTTCTGCAGGATGACCTTCTGACCTACCTCAAATCTTCAACATTGGCCACACTTTTCTGCAGGATGACCTTCTGACCTACCTCAAATCTTCAACATTGGCCACACTTTTCTGCAGGATGACCTTCTGACCTACCTCAAATCTTCCACATTGGCCACACTTTTCTGCAGGATGACCTTCTGACCTACCTCAAATCTTCCACATTGGCCACACTTTTCTGCAGGATGACCTTCTCCCTCCTCATCTTCTTGATCTCCAGCTTGAGGATCCTGATGTCCTCCAGACGCTGGTTGTACTGGATCTCCCCCTTGTTGAGCACAGACTGCTGGATCTTGATCTTCTCGTACAGGAGAGCCAGCTCATCGTTACGTCGCACCAGCTGGGTGCCCAGGATGTCACGTTCACTGATCACCTGCAACAATCAGGGCACTGCTGCAGCTGGATGGGGGCATATGGCACCAAACACAATTTGATGGGGGCATATGGCACCAAACACAATTTGATGGGGGCATATGGCACCAAACACAATTTGATGGGGGCATATGGCACCAAACACAATTTGATGGGGGCATATGGCACCAAACACAATTTGATGGGGGCATATGGCACCAAACACAATTTGATGGGGGCATATGGCACCAAACACAATTTGATGGGGGCATATGGCAACAAACACAATTTGATAGGGGCATATGGCACCAAACACAATTTGATGGGGGCATATGGCACCAAACTATTTGATGGGGGCATATGGCACCAAACTATTTGATGGGGGCATATGGCACCAAACACAACTTGATGGGGGCATAAGGCACCAAACATAATTTGATGGGGGCATATGGCACCAAACATAATTTGATGGGAGCATGATATGAAACAAGTTGCACAAACCTGGTCCAATTCTTTCTTCTGTCGCACACGTTCAGCGTCGGCCTCTCTGATGATGGCCAACAACTTTTTTTCTTCAGCTTCCTGGGCTTCTATGTGGGACTTGCTCTCCAGGGCTTGCTGCTTCATCTTCTGGAGCTCTGCCTGTCATCCAACATGGCATCAGGTCATCCAACATGGCATCATACAAGCCATTCAACATGTCTCATACAAGCCATCCAACATGTCATCATACAAGCCATCCAACATGTCTCATACAAGCCATCCAACATGTCATCATACAAGCCATCCAACATGTCATCATACAAGCCATCCAACAAGTCATCATACAAGCCATCCAACATGTCATCATACAAGCCACCCAACATGTCATCATACAAGCCATCCAACATGTCTCATACAAGCCATCCAACATGTCATCATACAAGCCATCCAACAAGTCATCATACAAGCCATCCAACATGTCTCATACAAGCCATCCAATATGGCAGTAATCGAGCCATCCAACATGGCATCATACAAGCCATCCAACATGTCATCATACAAGCCATCCAACATGGCATCATACAAGCCATCCAAAATGTCATCATACAAGCCATCCAAAATGTCATCATACAAGCCATCCAACATGGCATCATACAAGCCATCCAACATGGCATCATACAAGCCATCCAACATGTCATCTTACAAGCCATCCAACATGTCATCATACAAGCCATCCAACATGTCATCATACAAGCCATCCAACATGTCATCATACAAGCCATCCAACATGTCATCATACAAGCCATCCAACATGGCATCATACAAGCCATCCAACATGGCATCATACAAGCCATCCAACATGGCATCAAACAAGCCATCCAACATGGCATCATACAAGCCATCCAACATGTCATCATACAAGCCATCCAACATGTCATCATACAAGCCATCCAACATGTCATCATACAAGCCATCCAACATGTCATCATACAAGCCATCCAACATGTCTCATACAAGCCATCCAACATGTCATCATACAAGCCATCCAACATGTCATCATACAAGCCAACCAACATGGCATCATACAAGCCATCAAACATGTCATCATACAAGCCATCCAACATGGCATCATACAAGCCATCCAACATGTCATCATACAAGCCATCCAACATGTCTCATACAAGCCATCCAACATGTCATCATACAAGCCATCCAACATGTCATCATACAAGCCATCCAACATGTCATCATACAAGCCATCCAACATGTCTCATACAAGCCATCCAACATGGCATCATACAAGCCATCCAACATGTCTCATACAAGCCATCCAACATGGCATCATACAAGCCATCCAACATGTCATCCAAGATGAAATGACCTAAGTCAGCTGAGATGAAATGACCTCTGACCTTGAGTGTGTCCTTCTCCTTCTCCACCTGCTGATTGACCAGCGTCTCTTTGACCAGCGCGGCCTCCTTGGCCTGGATCTCTTCCTTCAGCTGGTCTATCTGGTGGCTCATGATCCGCAGCTTCCTCCGCATCTCTGTGATCTCGTCCTACACAGGTCAAAGGTCACAACATCAGAATAGCTTACATGACTGCCACCTGTTCCATATGACATGACGTCAACTGGCGTGACACCTACCTGTGACTCGATGAGGTTCTTGCTGTACAGGTTCCTGTCCGACCTGACAGCCTCGTACAAATTTTGTTGCTGTTTCAGCTTGGTCTCTGCCTCAGCTATTTTCTTCTTGTAGTCAAAGATTTGCATCTCTCTGACCTTGACATCCTCCATGTGTTGCAGGACCTGGGAAGGTCAAGGTTACAAATTGAGATTAACAATAACCCAGTGACATCATTTAGCCTTGACCTGATGATGACCTGTGTCTGACCTTCTGTGTCAGGTCGCTAGCCTCGTTGATGTAGCGGTCTCTCTCCTTCTCCAGCTGGTAGATGATCTTCCTCTGCTTCTGGGCCTCGTCCTTGTAGTTGGCAATCTCCTGCTCCAGGTTCTTCTTGGACTGGTCATGTAGCTTGACCAGGTGGAGCTGCTTCTGGGTGGCACCGGCAGCTTTCAGCAAGTTCTGGGGACAAACAAGACAGGTCAGATGACAGGACCTTATGGAGCCAGTATGACAGGACCTCATGGAGCCAGTATGACAGGACCTTATGGAGCCAGTATGACAGGACCTCATGGAGCCAGTATGACAGGACCTTATGGAGCCATTATGACAGGACCTTATGGAGCCAGTATGACAGGACCTTATGGAGCCAGTACGACAGGACCTTATGGAGCCAGTATGACAGGACCTTATGGAGCCAGTATGACAGGACCTTATGGAGCCAGTATGACAGGACCTTATGGAGCCAGTATGACAGGACCTTATGGAGCCATTATGACAGGACCTTATGGAGCCAGTATGACAGGACCTTATGGAGCCAGTATGACAGGACCTTATGGAGCCAGTATGACAGGACCTTATGGAGCCAGTATGACAGGACCTTATGGAGCCAGTATGACAGGACCTTATGGAGCCAGTATGACAGGACCTTATGGAGCCAGTATGACAGGACCTTATGGAGCCAGTACGACAGGACCTTATGGAGCCAGTACGACAGGACCTTATGGAGCCAGTATGACAGGACCTTATGGAGCCAGTATGACAGGACCTTATGGAGCCAGTATGACAGGACCTTATGGAGCCAGTATGACAGGACCTTATGGAGCCAGTATGACAGGACCTTATGGAGCCAGTATGACAGGACCTTATGGAGCCATTATGACAGGACCTTATGGAGCCAGTATGACAGGACCTTATGGAGCCATTATGACAGGACCTTATGGAGCCAGTATGACAGGACCTTATGGAGCCAGTATGACAGGACCTTATGGAGCCAGTACAACAGGACCTTATGGAGCCAGTACGACAGGACCTTATGGAGCCAGTATGACAGGACCTTATGGAGCCAGTATGACAGGACCTTATGGAGCCAGTATGACAGGACCTTATGGAGCCAGTATGACAGGACCTTATGGAGCCAGTATGACAGGACCTTATGGAGCCAGTATGACAGGACCTTATGGAGCCAGTACGACAGGACCTTATGGAGCCAGTACGACAGGACCTTATGGAGCCAGTATGACAGGACCTTATGGAGCCAGTATGACAGGACCATATGGAGCCAGTATGACAGGACCTTATGGAGCCAGTATGACAGGACCTTATGGAGCCAGTATGACAGGACCTTATGGAGCCAGTATGACAGGACCTTATGGAGCCAGTACGACAGGACCTTATGGAGCCAGTATGACAGGACCTTATGGAGCCAGTATGACAGGACCTTATGGAGCCAGTATGACAGGACCTTATGGAGCCAGTATGACAGGACCTTATGGAGCCAGTATGACAGGACCTTATGGAGCCAGTATGACAGGACCTTATGGAGCCAGTATGACAGGACCTTATGGAGCCATTATGACAGGACCTTATGGAGCCAGTATGACAGGACCTTATGGAGCCAGTATGACAGGACCTTATGGAGCCAGTATGACAGGACCTTATGGAGCCAGTATGACAGGACCTTATGGAGCCAGTATGACAGGACCTTATGGAGCCAGTATGACAGGACCTTATGGAGCCAGTATGACAGGACCTTATGGAGCCAGTATGACAGGACCTTATGGAGCCAGTATGACAGGACCTTATGGAGCCAGTATGACAGGACCTTATGGAGCCAGTATGACAGGACCTTATGGAGCCAGTATGACAGGACCTTACAGAGGCAGTATGTCAGGACCTTAGCCTGTATGACTTACCTTGTTAAGAATGTCCCTTTCTCTAATAAGGTCATCAATACTTTTCTTGTCTGCTTCTGTTTTCTTCTTGGCCAGCTCCAATTCTAACGGTACAAATAAGAAATCATTGGCACAAAGCTGTTTCATTTCAACAAATTTTGACACAACATTAGCAGAAGTTTCCCCCATCCCACACAATCCCCCCCCCCCCCCCACTGATCTACTCACCACACTCCCACACACTCCACCATACTGATGTACTCACCACGCTCCAGCGCACTGATCTGAGATTTGAGGGTCTCCTTCTGCTGCTCCACTTCTGTCTTGCTGTCCTCCACTGTGCGCAGCTTGCGCTGCAGCGTCTCCCTCATCTTGTTCTGTCTTTGGCTCTCTGACTTCAGCATGCTCAGCTCTTCTTCTTTTTGCTGGACAGATGACATGGGCAGTCAGATGACATGGGCAGTCAGATGACATCATGTGGACATTACAGCCACATGACATCATGTGGACATTACAGCCACATGACATCATATGGACATTACAGCCACATGACATCATATGGACATTACATAGACACATTGCAAAATACTAAGACATGGGCTAAACAATGTTTATGTACTTTTAGCTGTGAAAGATAATTCCAATATGATTGTTGAACAAGGCTAATTCAAATGTAATGAAAAGTGTGGACAACCTTAAGGTCTGTTGTTGTAATGAAAAGTGTGGACAACCTTAAGGTCTGTTGTTGTAATGAAAAGTGTTGACAACCTTAAGGTCTGTTGTTGTAATGAAAAGTGTGGACAACCTTAAGGTCTGTTGTTGTAATGAAAAGTGTTGACAACCTTAAGGTCTGTTGTTGTAATGAAAAGTGTTGACAACCTTAAGGTCTGTTGCTTTGGACTGGTTCTCCTGAGCTAAGCTATCAGCATTGATCAGCTGACTTTCATATTCAGCTGATAATTTCATCAGTCGCGCGTTGAGAACTTCCGAGTCTTTTAGAGTTCGTTCACTCAGAACCTGATCAAGTAGAGAGAGAGTGAGGATTAGCCAATCAAATCACACAACTATCCATATGTATCACATGTTGCCTTCCATATAGCGTCCCCTGATTGTGTATGTGTTGTGTGCTAGAATGACAGGTACCCACTTTGTAGTTGTAGCCCTTGGTTGAGTGTGTTTACATGTAGTTGTAGCCCTTGGTTGAGTGTGTTTACATGTAGTTGTAGCCCTTGGTTGAGTGTGTTTACATGTAGTTGTAGCCCTTGGTTGAGTGTGTTTACATGTGAGAGGTGTTCGTGAGGATAGACGGGTTACAGAGCGGGTTACAACGGCTGATTCACAAAAACATCTGCCCGGCCTATGATTTACTGAATGATTTATCCATACATCTGCCCCAAAAACATAACAAATGCAACACAATCTGTTTTGTAATCCTTGAAGAATTACAAATCTCACATATCGATTCCTAGAATATTAAGACAAGCGAACTAGGGGAAATAATCACTCTGTTCATATAAATATGTATATTTCTACAAATTTAATTGTAAATATCAAAACAAATCAATAATTACTTTAGAATGTAATATAGTAGCTTAACACAATCTGTTTTTACTAAAAATATGCCTATGATTTACCATACATCTTTCCCCCCCTCCTTGATTTACCATACATCTGCCCCCCCCCCCTTTTTTGATCTACCATACATCTGCCCCCCCCCCTCCTTGATTTACCATACATCTGCCCCCCCCCCCCCCCCCTTGATTTACCCTCTGTTCCTTGAGCTGCTGGTCCAATATTTCTTTCTCCTCCTTGTAGTGTTCAATCTGTGTCACCATTTTTTTAATGTCCGAGTTTTTGGCGTCCAGCTCAGCCTTGGCCTGGGTCAGGTCTCGCTCTAGCTTGTCTCTCTTGCGCGCCTCCCGCTGGGCCTCATTGTTCCTCATCTGGATGTCTGTGTTCAACTGGAGAGTAGCATCAAAAGGGGGGTCAGGGGAGGGACAAAGTCCAAAAAAAAAGAGTCACTTATCCCTAATTTTATGAAGGTAAGAAAATATTTTTAATTGTGAATAATATAACTTGGAATATTAAAATTCAATAAAATAACATGGTTAATCAATCATCCTCAATTAAAATGAAAATAATATAGTGATGTCAAAGAGTGAGTAGTTCTGTGGATGATGCTCCATTTTTCTGGAGATTCTTGACCCCCAGAGACTGGATCTTGTGTTGCCATTTGCTCAAGTCGTAGAAATGTGATTTGTCACAAACATACATAACAAAGGACATATTTTCAATGTGTATTTGTTTTTAAAAATACTCTAATTTTAAACTCTGTAGTTTCAGATTTTGTATTGCGCAACACATAACATAAGACACTAGATCTATTTTGAGTTTTAATGGAATAATTTTCATGTGATACTGGGAATTTTTGGTTTGATATTTTATTGATGATTAGAGGGTGTAAGCATGAGTTGCCATTTATTTAGCTTTATGGAAGTCAATGTTTTTAATGTCTAGGTGTTAAAGGGTTATTGTCTGGATGGTAAAGAGTTAAAATGTCTGGATGGTAAAGGGTTAATGTCTGGGTGTTAAGGATTGGCTGGACTGACCTGCATGATTTTTTCCTCAGCGTCAGCCTTGTCTGTCTCCAGCTTTTGTTGGCGCGTGTGGGCGTCGGCCAGATTTTCTCTCAGTCGGGTGATCTCCTGGAGCTGCTCGTCCCTCTCCTTGGTCAGGTCCTCTTTCAGCTTCAACAGCTCATTGACACTGGGGACATACACCAAAGGTCATTGACACTGGGGACATACACCATAGGTCATTGACACTGGGGACATACACCAAAGGTCATTGACACTGGGGACATACACCAAAGGTCATTGACACTGGGGACATACACCAAAGGTCATTGACACTGGGGACATACACCAAAGGTCATTGACACTGGGGACATACACCAAAGGTCATTGACACTGGGGACATACACCATAGGTCATTGACACTGGGGACATACACCATAGGTGTGTTGACTACATCATTAATACAGTAGTAATACAGAAATGTTCAACTGCCCCTAACTGACCTGTAATGAACTGCCCCTAACTGACCTGTAATGGACTGACCTGTAATGAACTGCCCCTAGCTCACCTGTAATGATTTGCCCATGACTGACCTGTAATGAACTGCCCATGACTGACCTGTAATGAACTGCCCATGACTGACCTGTAATGAACTGCCCATGACTGACCTGTAATGAACTGCCCATGACTGACCTGTAATGAACTGCCCATGACTGACCTGTAATGAACTGCCCCTGACTGACCTGTAATGAACTGCCCATGACTGACCTGTAATGAACTGCCCATGACTGACCTGTAATGAACTGCCCATGACTGACCTGTAATGAACTGCCCATGACTGACCTGTGCTCCTGGCCCATAGTGAGTCCAGCCCCCTGCTCCACCAGTTTACTCAGCTGTTCTATCTCAGTCTTCAACCTCTGTGCAGTTTCTTTGGACTTGGCCTCTTTTTCATGAGCAGCGTCCACCATTTTCCAGGCTTTTTCCACCTCCTTTGAAGTGGTCAGAAACAGTTAACTAAACTAAAGGCTACCACTATTTAAAATATGTAATGAATGACCAAATTGAAAAAATTATTGAATGATACTGAAAAATTAGGAGCTGCATTAAAAATTTTCAAGAAATATTTTTTTTTCTTATTTGTCAGCATCAAGCAGTACTGTGGTCATACCAGTGGGATAAAGTTTCACAACCTTTTACAAAAAAAATAATGGCTTGAAAGTTTTCTCCTAACTTGACATCTAAAAATATAAGGATGAAATTAAAATGTATGTGAGGGCTGAGAATGTGAGGACTAAGAATGTGAGGGTTGAGAATGTCTTACTTTCTTAAGTGATGCAATAGTAGCCTGGTCATCTTGAGACAACTTGAGGGCAGTGACCACTTTAGCTGAGTTGGCAACTATTTCTGCATTCAGCTCACGACATTTTTGCATAAGTCTGCGCTCACTTTCATGAGATTTTTTTAAGGCTTTGTGAAGTTTTTCATATTCCAAGCGAAACTTTTCAAGGCTTCTGTCTCCAGCCAGTTCAGCCAAAACCTGGTACAATCATTTCAGATTTTTATTTTGTTTTTTTGAGCATGTTTACTGTATTACAAACAATATAGAAAACTGGTCTTAATGCCCTAAAACAAACCTCTTGAAAGTCCTTCTCCAAGGCATCAAAGGCACTGTCATCAAACGGTGCCTTCTCTTTGTCCTTTTTTTCCTGGAAAATAAAAAATTAAAAAATTCTTTTTCATAAATGACATGAGACTCCTAGTGTGTGTGTGTGGGGGGGGGGGTAGAGTTTTTTGACATTGTTAAAAATAAAAAAAACTACAATTATGGGAGGGGGGGTAGGCTTTATGTGAAGAGGGGAGGTTAAAAATGATCACAAAAAGTATGACATCATTTATGGATAAACACATAGCTAGTGGGTCATTGCAAACACTACACACCAGTATACAAACACTACACACACCAGCATACAAACACTACACACCAGAGTACAAACACTACACACACCAGTATAGAAACACTACACACCAGAGTACAAACACTACACACACCAGCATACAAACACTACACACCAGAGTACAAACACTACACACCAGTATTGAAAAAAAAAAGGATTATATAAAAAGTGAAAAGGGCCCTTGCTAGTAGAGTTGAAGATGATCTTTATCAGTAAGGTATTCTCTAATGCTGCACATAATCATGCAGACCTGGACAATATTGCACAAACAGCGATCACTGCTATTCTTCATTATCAAGGAAAGTATGAATATGGGCAACATTAGAGAATAGCCTCAGGATCACTGCTATTCTTCATTGTCAAGGAAAGTATGAATATGGGCAACATTAGAGAATAGCCTCAGGATCACTGCTATTCTTCATTATCAAGGAAAGTATGAATATGGCCAACATTAGAGAATAGCCTCAGGATCACTGCTATTCTTCATTATCAAGGAAAGTATGAATATAGGCAACATTAGAGAATAGCCTATTCAATGTATTCATTAATGAACATCCATAACTCTACTAGTAAGGAATATTAGCAGTAATATTACTAATAATGTGGGTCTACAACTACAATATTACTAATAATGTGGGTCTACAACTACAATATTACTAATAATGTGGGTCTACAACTACAATATTACTAATAATGTGGGTCTACAACTACAATATTACTAATAATGTGGGTCTACAACTACAATATTATTAATAATGTGGGTCTACAACTACAATATTACTAATAATGTGGGTCTACAACTACAATATTACTAATAATGTGGGTCTACCTTGATACACTTTTTAAATTTTTTTATGAAATGTTCATAATTGAAAATTATTATTCTAAGTATATAAAATGAAAATTGTTTTTAAAGACTTTCAATAGTAATTTTTTAACTCATAAATTTAGACCATGAGCACTTTAATAATCTAACACTTGAATCCATCCCTATTGTTGTTTTTTTTTTTACATTCCTTTGTAATCCACGACAAACATTTTACATACAAACATACAGAATTGAGCTTTATATATTAGATAAATCAAGTATTAAATTTAATACAACGACAACCTCTTAAGTTCTTAATATTATTAATATTATTTATTATCATTAATTTTTAAATTACGTTATTAGTTATTAGGCTAGCGGCTAGATTATATTTATTTTCAAAATCTAAACAAAGTTTTCGTGCATCTACAAATCCGAACGAAATACGAGGGCAGAGATTTATACAAGTTGAAATTCAAAAGATGTTTTACCTCGGTCATTTTATAGAAGTAAACACAAATTTAAGATTGGATTTTCTCTTGATGTCCACAATTTACCAGCAATCTGTTGGTTGCTAGGTAACAACGATTTCCTCCATTCGTTTCCGGTTTCGTTTCCAGGTGAAATATAGAATACGCATGTCAGCAACCGTAAATTAATTATTGTTGGATTCGGAAGGAAATATTACATTAGAATTATACTGACTTCCATCCATTGCGGTTGCTTTTAATCTGGGTTTGATCGAATCTCAGTAGTAGGAGTCCGATTAACAGGGGCGGAACTACACTGCCGCCAGACCCCGCAATGGGGGGGGGGGACAGGCCGTTTAGGGGCCCACAGCCGACCATAGTCAATTTTTTATAGTTAAAAAAATTATTTCTTGTAAAAAAAAAAAAAAAGATCTACTGCAGTAAAGATGTTCTACAGTTGCTAACACACTCTGTTTCGTACAGGAAAAAATTGTATCGCTACATGAGTTGTAGTGTGAAAGATAGGCAAACGTTCAAACCACTTCCATGACTTATTTCCCTTTTTTTTAAAATAGTCAAATATGTGTGCTCTTAATTCAGAAACTTTTTGATTTTACACTAAACAATAAAAAGCAATTACTTCTCTTACTTACTATTTTTTTAAAATACAAAATAAAGAATGAAATGGTGTAAAAAGGAAATGTATTAAAAACTAATAATATAAATAGGCCTACAAAAAAACTTAAAAATAAACATAAGGCGAGAAACCATTACACATACAGAGTTTCTTCCAGGCATCTCTTCGGGGGGGGGGGGGCTAAGCCTGGCTAAGCCCCCCCCCCCCCCCCCCCGAAATTTTTTTACCGCCCCCCCCCCCCCCAAACGAAATGAAATTAATATATTTTATATAGAAAATATATACTTTTAACAGTGTCCGCCCCCCCCCCCCCCCCCCCGAAGAAAGTCTACCGCCCCCCCCCCCCCGAAAATTTCAAGTGCCCCCCCCCCCCCCGGAGAAAAAAGTCTGGAAGAAACACTGCATTCAAAGCTTTCATGCTTCATATTCTTTTGACCGACTGGTAAGGTAAGAAGCACTGTTGACATTGAAACAGATTTTCACAACAGACTAATAGCACTCACACATATGATTTGTTGTTGTGACAAGTTTTAATTAAAAATATAAACCAAGAATTAAAATGTTTCAAATTTCGAACAAGCCCATATTCAGGGGCGGATTAAGCTTGGGCGGGGCCCCAGGCTTAAAATTTTTGGGGGCCCCTGATATATATATATATATATATATATATATATATATATATATATATATATATATATATATATATATATATATATATAAATTGTATATAAATAGTATATATATATATATGTATATATATGTATATATATGTATATATATATATATATATATATATATATATACTATTTTTAAAAAATCATGGATTGTTTTAACTTATAGGAACATTTGACACCGATATTTACAAAACTGCTAATTTAAAAAGCAGTCAATTATGTTCAGAGTTTCTTTCAGGCATCTCTTCGGGGGGGGGGGGGGTGGTGGCATTGCCGCCCCCCGAACGAAATGGAATTTATATAGAAAATATATACTTTTGACAGTGTCCGCTCCCCCCACCCCCACCCCCGGAAATTGTTGTCCGCCCATCCCCCCAAGTGCACCCCGGAGAAAAAAAAATCTGGAAGAAACACTGAGGACGACATCCCGCGGCTGTTGGTGAGGGAAGTAAAGCCTGGATAGAGCATACGGATGAGTAAGCGACCAACATGCAGTGTTTCAAACCAACACCTTCGTGAGACTGATTCAGTCCACCATTTGCTAGTTTGCTGGAATTGACCTCCCTGGCTAATGGGAGTCAAACTCAGCCGGTATATCCGTGTCACGATAGTTATTGAACAGTCATTCACGAATTTATATTGGGCGTGAGAAAGCTGGAAATGCAGACTAACATTGAACAAATATAAATATCCATGAGAATATTATAATGTCGTTATAAAGCAGACGATAAAGACTTTTGGCACTTGTTTGCATGCAGACGCGAAAAGAAAAAAGAGAATTTCAAACCACTCTATGTAAGAAATTATTGATAACATACAGAGGTTAAACTAGGCCCAAATAAAACTAGTAAGCACAGCATAAGCGTAAAAAAACTATACCTCCAACCTCTTAGGTGTCATCCATTTTAAGGCATACAAGAAAGTTGAATTTCCACAGTCGCCCTTTAAAGAACGCCATCCCTGGCGTGTTTCTGTCTAGGCCTAATTTAGGCCTAAATGTCGGTTACCTTATTATAGGGCCTTTTTGCCGCGACATAACTGCCCTTTGAGTAGGGTTAAAATAACACGGGTATTGCCGTATTTGTTTTTAGGCCTACATTGTTTATGCAGTTTTGTTTTTGTTATAAACAATACAGAGTATAATTCAATGATTGTGATGTCTACATAGCCCTCCCCACCTCCACCTATACGCCGTCCGCACTTTTCCACAATTGTCTAAAGTTTTAGATCCATAAGTTGATGATTTCTTATATTCTTGCTATAAATCTGTCTTGACGCCAACGAAATTACAAGCTAATTAATTAGGCCACCTAACTGTTTGTGGCATATTTTGATTTTTTTTTAAAATTAAAAGCTTTGAGTTTACAATAGGGCGTAGAACGCACGACTGCTGACCCAAAAGTCCTGAGCTCTAAACCCAGGTTCATATCCAAGAACACCAAACACAGATGGGTACCTAGATCAATCTAAAATTTTAAAACTACTAAAGGAAGCTAGGCATAAATCAAGAACTGATCAGAGTGTCTCATTTGCTGAGAACAACTAAATATGTGAACCTAATATTCCCTATGCTCACTAGGTCCTGATGGGCAACAAAGATATTAATCTAAGGAGTTTTAATCCAAATAACTAGATCTGGATATCCTGTAACTAAAAAAAATTATATCCAAAACATCATTTCTAATGACAAAAATGTAAAGCATCTTTCATGCATTTCTTAGTAGTGTAGTGGGTAAGCAAAAACGGCCAGGTAGTTTTTCATTGATTGTTAAGGCTGGTCAATAATGTTGCTTGTCTGGATGCTTGCTAGTGAGACCGAATTCAGCATGTAGACCCTATGCCTAACATTTATATAATTTTATGTTTGTTACCACCTTGCTACACAATCTGACGCTATCTGACTAAATTACTTTCAAGTGTGTGCATTTTTCACAAGGCGTCAATCATAGACTCATGTGTCAGAACTCGACCGCTATTTTAACTAAAGTGTGTGCTCGAATATTAAAGCATTGGCTTTTATAGTGAAAAAAATCTAAAAAAAAAAAACAATTTAGCTTTAAAGGGAAATCTACTATCATTTAATAAGGAAATTTGGGGGCCCCTAAAAATCGGGGGCCCCTGGCTGCAGCCCTCTCAGCACCCCCCTTAATCCGCCACTGCCCGTATTGAGTATTCTATGTTCATATTTTCGTATTTAGTCTATATATATATATATATATATATATATATATATATATATATATATATATATATATATATGGGGCCCAAAAAATTTTTTTTGCGGGGTGGCACTTTTTTTCTAGTTCCGCCACTGCCGATTAATTAGGTCAAGACACACATCCGACTCGTATGATTTGCGATCGGATTTTGTCAGTGCGATAGAGCTATCGGCCTATGACCAGTGTTTCTTCCAGACTTTTTTCTCCGGGGGGAGGGGGGACACTTGATATTTTCGGGGGAGGGCCAGTGTTTCTTCCAGACTTTTTTCCCCGGGGGGGGGGGGGGGGGGGCACTTGAAATTTTCGGGGAGGGCGGACACTGGTAAAAGTATATGTTTTCGATATAAATTCCAATTCGTTCGGGGTGGGGGGGGGGGAGACTTTCTACGCCACCTATACAAAGTCCCGGCGCCCTAGGCAAACTTATAAAAACGCCCCCCCCCCACCCCGAAATTTTATTTTCTGATGAACGCTGTTAAACCGCAATCGACTTTAATGTTTTTATACCGTATATAGAAAAGCATCGAATCGCGTCCTGCCGGGGGCGCCACCCCTGCGAATTTGAAATTTATTTTTTCGCAGGAACCTCCCCATTAATATTCTTAACAACTTCCCAAATTTTCATGGCACTTGGATGAACGGTGTCGAACTGCATACGACTTTTAATTTTTATATACTGAATATTGAGAAAAATCGCACCTTCTACTTTTTAGTTAGTGCACTATTACATAAAAGCTTGTTATTAAAAGGTTTTTTATTGTTATTTTTTTTTGCTTTGTTTTTTCGGTGTTCTTTAAACGGATTGTAAAATTAGAGAATGTGGGAAAGGCTATCTCTGCGGACGCGATTGTTGTTCAGTGATGATTCTAATTACACCGTGGGTTGGGTGATGAGGGCAAATGGCGTGGACATTTCTGGAAGCATTTTGATACTCGGCCGTTTGTTTCATAAAGCCATTTGATAAAGCGTTTGTGTTTGCATTGTGTTTTTGTTTTCATTTGTGTTTGCGTTTGTTTTCCCTTTGCGTTTAGTTTTGTTCTGTTGCCAAGTTGGTACATCTAAAAAAAAAAGATTCACCTTGGCGAAGCATAGGTATTCAGCTCGTCATAACATGTCGAGCTAAAATTGAAAGTGGTCGGACAAATATGCGCAATATGGATTAACTTGCCAAAGTAAGAGAACACTTCCTTAAGCTGGCATAAATTTTATTGTAGGCCTACACATTGTATGTAAGCGGAAAAAAAAAAGGAAAACTAGGTCATGGGGTTTAAATTTGCATTGTTATTTAAAAACTTTATCTGCAAAGTTTTGTAAACAAATATTTATCGATCACGGAGTTCCTGAACAGCCAATCAATATTTGTTTTACGAAAGTGAAACATCCGGTTATAACTTATTAGGCTTGATGAAAATAAATAGAAACAAATTATTTTCCAGTTCTCTGGAATTGTAACTTTTATAACAGTGATTATAAAAATAAAAATTTCTGAATTCATTTTAGGCTTAAGTTTTTATTTTATTTTTACATGAACACAATACAAACATGAACACAAGACAAACATGGACATGAACACAAGACAAACATGAACACCTGTGGCATTAGGGACATTCAGTATCCTAATGTCACCTGCAGACTCATGGTTGTAGAACTCCGAAAAGTACTGGGTCGACTTTGTTATATTTAAATTTACGCTTGTTCTTCAGTTAAGACATTTTCCATTACAACAATGTTTATAAATATGTGTGTATTATATATAAATCTTGCAGGTAAAGTAAAACTAAATCAATGCAGGTTTAAGATTTAAATGTTTTATTGTACATGCGCATAGGTTATATTTATGTTTAATTATAAAAGAGGAGCCTTAATGAGAACGTAAAGTAAAATAGTAGCTTTAAAAAAAGACAACAGCTTATTATTTACCAAGAGCTTAACAAGAGAAAATCTCAACTTTATGGCTGGGGCTAAATACATGAGAGCAACTTAATCACCGTCTGCATTTCTGACTGACCCCGTCAACATAAGGAAAGAAGTCAACTTTTCTGACAACCCCGTCAACATTAGGAAAGAAGTCAACTTTTCTGAAGACCCAGTCAACATAAGGAAAGAAGTCAACTTTTCTGAAGACCCAGTCAACATAAGGAAAGAAGTCAACTTTTCTGAAGACCCAGTCAACATAAGGAAAGAAGTCAACTTTTCTGAAGACCCAGTCAACATAAGGAAAGAAGTCAACTTTTCTGAAGACCCCGTCAACATAAGGAAAGAAGTCAACTTTTCTGAAGACCCAGTCAACATAAGGAAAGAAGTCAACTTTTCTGACTGACCCTGTCAACATAAGGAAAGAAGTCAACTTTTCTGACTGACCCCGTCAACATAAGGAAAGAAGTCAACTTTTCTGACGACCCCATCAACATAAGGAAAGAAGTCAACTTTTCGGACAACCCCGTCAACATAAGGAGAGAAGTCAACTTTTCTGACAACGCCGTCAACATAAGGAGAGAAGTCAACTTTTCTGAAGACCCCGTCAACATAAGGAGAGAAGTCAACTTTTCTGACAACCCCGTCAACATAAGGATAGAAGTCAACTTTTCGGAAGACCCCATCAACATTAGGAAAAAAGTCAACTTTTCTGACGACCCCATCAACATAAGGAGAGAAGTCAACTTTTCTGAAGACCCCGTCAACATAAGGAGAGAAGTCAACTTTTCTGACGACCCCGTCAACATAAGGAGAGAAGTCAACTTTTCTGACGACCCCGTCAACATAAGGAGAGAAGTCAACTTTTCTGACGACCCCGTCAACATAAGGAGAGAAGTCAACTTTTCTGAAGACCCCGTCAACATAAGGAGAAAAGTCAACTTTTCTGACGACCCCGTCAACATAAGGAGAGAAGTCAACTTTTCTGACGACCCCGTCAACATAAGGAGAGAAGTCAACTTTTCTGAAGACCCCGTCAACATAAGAAAAGAAGTCAAGCAACAAGTCCCAAGTTTGAATCACTTTTATTGAAAGCTCTACATCTTAAATACAAAAATGTACACTACAGATTTTTTCGCATCAACTGTGGACATACTCAGGACACATCACATTCAACTTGACATACTTGCTTCTAGTTAGATACAAAACTTGACAAACTTGCCACTAGTTAGATACAAAACTTGACATACTTGCCACTAGTTAGATACAAAACTTGACATACTTGCCACTAGTTAGATACAAAACTTGACATACTTGCCACTAGTTAGATACAAAAATTACAATACTCAAAATGATAAAAACAAAACCAGTTGAAAATGTTTCACTTTCTCAAATAAAAAATGTGAGTGGAGAATATGGACACTGCTACTTGTCTTATGGATGTATACAACAGACTTGAGTAAAAATTTGTTCTGAAAAAATTTTCAGACAATTCCAGTACCAGGAGCCTCGACTCACGAGTCACGCTGTAGCAGTTGTATCAGGATGCTAAATTTTCTACCACACCTACAGCAACCACATACCAACCTCAGCACTATGGCATGCAACTACATCGACCACACAACTAGATCAACTACAACAACCACATACCTACAGCAACCTACCACACACCTACAACAACCACACACCTACAACAACCACACACCTACAGCAACCACATACCAACATCAGCACTATGGCATGCAACTACATCGACCACACAACTAGATCAACTACAACAACCACACACCTACAGCAACCACACACCTACAACAACCACACACCTACAACAACCACACACCTACAACAACCACACACCTACAACAACCACACCTACAGCAACCACACACCTACAACAACCACACACCTACAGCAACCACACACCTACAACAACCACACACCTACAACAACCACACACCTACAACAACCACACACCTACAGCAACCACACACCTACAGCAACCACACAACTACAACAACCACACCTACAACAACCACACAACTACAACAACCACACCTACAGCAACCACACACCTACAGCAACCACACACCTACAGCAACCACACAACTACAACAACCACACCTACAACAACCACACAACTACAACAACCACACCTACAACAACCACACACCTACAACAACCACACACCTACAGCAACCACACACCTACAACAACCACACCTACAGCAACCACACACCTACAGCAACCACACACCTACAGCAACCACACAACTACAACAACCACACCTACAACAACCACACAACTACAACAACCACACCTACAACAACCACACACCTACAACAACCACACACCTACAGCAACCACACACCTACAACAACCACACACCTACAGCAACCACACACCTACAGCAACCACACAACTACAACAACCACACACCTACAGCAACCACATACCAACATCAGCACTATGGCATACAACTACATCGACCACACAACTAGATCAACTACAACAACCACACACCTACAGCAACCACATACCAACTTCAGCACTACAGCATACAACTACATCGACCACACAACTAGATCAACTACAACAACCACACACCTACAACAACCACATACCAACATCAGCACTATGGCATGCAACTACATCGACCACACAACTAGATCAACTACAACAACCACACACCTACAACAACCACACACCTACAGCAACCACATACCAACATCAGCACTATGGCATACAACTACATCGACCACACAACTAGATCAACTACAACAACCACACACCTACAGCAACCACATACCAACTTCAGCACTACAGCATACAACTACATCGACCACACAACTAGATCAACTACAACAACCACACACCTACAACAACCACATACCAACATCAGCACTATGGCATGCAACTACATCGACCACACAACTAGATCAACTACAACAACCACACACCTACAACAACCACACACCTACAGCAACCACATACCAACATCAGCACTATGGCATACAACTACATCGACCACACAACTAGATCAACTACAACAACCACACACCTACAGCAACCACATACCAACTTCAGCACTACAGCATACAACTACATCGACCACACAACTAGATCAACTACAACAACCACACACCTACAACAACCACATACCAACATCAGCACTACAGCATACAACTACATCGACCACACAACTAGATCAACTACAACAACCACACACCTACACCAACCACACAACTATAACAACCACACCTACAACAACCACACACCTACAGCAACCACACACCTACAGCAACCACACACCTACAACAACCACACACATACAACCACACACCTACAACAACCACACACCTACAGCAACCACACACCTACAACAACCACACACCTACACCAACCACACACCTACAGCAACCACACCTACAACAACCACACACCTACAACAACCACACACCTACACCAACCACACACCTACAGCAACCACACACCTACAACAACCACACACCTACAACAACCACACCTACAGCAACCACACCTACAACAACCACACACCTACAACAACCACACACCTACAACAACCACACACCTACAGCAACCACATACCAACATCAGCACTATGGCATACAACTACATCGACCACACAACTAGATCAACTACAACAACCACACACCTATAGCAACCACATACCAACTTCAGCACTATAGCATACAACTACATCGACCACACAACTAGATCAACTACAACAACCACACACCTACAACAACCACATACCAACATCAGCACTACAGCATACAACTACATCGACCACACAACTAGATCAACTACAACAACCACACACCTACAACAACCACATACCAACATCAGCACTACAGCATACAACTACATCGACCACACTACTAGATCAACTACAACAACCACACACCTACAGCAACCACACACCTACAGCAACCACACACCTACAGCAACCACACACCTACAACAACCACACACCAACAACAACCACACCAACAACAACCACACACCTACAACAACCACACACCTACAACAACCACACACCTACAGCAACCACATACCAACATCAGCACTATGGCATACAACTACATCGACCACACAACTAGATCAACTACAACAACCACACACCTACAGCAACCACACACCTACAGCAACCACACACCTACAACAACCACACACCTACAGCAACCACACACCTACAACAACCACACACCTACAGCAACCACACACCTACAGCAACCACACCTACAACAACCACACACCTACAACAACCACACACCTACAACAACCACACCTACAACCACACACCTACAGCAACCACACACCTACAACAACCACACACCTACAACAACCACACACCTACAACAACCACACACCTACAACAACCACATACCAACATCAGCACTACAGCATACAACTACATCGACCACACAACTAGATCAACTACAACAACCACACACCTACAACAACCACATACCAACATCAGCACTACAGCATACAACTACATCGACCACACAACTAGATCAACTACAACAACCACACACCTACAGCAACCACACACCTACAACAACCACACACCTACAGCAACCACACACCTACAACAACCACACCTACAACCACACACCTACAGCAACCACACACCTACAACAACCACACACCTACAACAACCACACACCTACAACAACCACACACCTACAACAACCACACACCTACACCAACCACACAACTATAACAACCACACCTACAACAACCACACACCTACAGCAACCACACACCTACAGCAACCACACACCTACAACAACCACACACCTACAGCAACCACACACCTACAGCAACCACACCTACAACAACCACACACCTACAGCAACCACACACCTACAGCAACCACACACCTACAGCAACCACACCTACAACAACCACACACCTACAACAACCACACACCTACAGCAACCACACACCTACAGCAACCACACCTACAACAACCACACACCTACAACAACCACACACCTACAACAACCACACACCTACAACCACACACCTACAACAACCACACCTACAACAACCACACACCTACAACAACCACACACCTACAACAACCACACACCTACAACAACCACACCTACAGCAACCACACCTACAACAACCACACACCTACAACAACCACACACCTACAACAACCACACCTACAACAACCACACACCTACAACCACACACCTACAACCACACACCTACAACAACCACACACCTACAACAACCACACACCTACAACAACCACATACCTACAACAACCACACACCTACAACAACCACACCTACAGCAACCACACACCTACAACAACCACACACCTACAGCAACCACACACCTACAACAACCACACACCTACAACAACCACACACCTACAACAACCACACACCTACAACAACCACACACCTACAGCAACCACACACCTACAACCACACACCTACAGCAACCACACAACTATAACAACCACACCTATAACAACCACACACCTACAACAACCACACCTACAGCAACCACATACCAACCTCAGCACTATGGCATGCAACTACATCGACCACACAACTAGATCAACTACAACAACCACACACCTACAACCACACACCTACAACCACACACCTACAACAACCACACACCTACAACAACCACACACCTACAACAACCACACACCTACAGCAACCACACACCTACAACAACCACACACCTACAACAACCACACACCTACAACAACCACACACCTACAACAACCACACACCTACAACAACCACACCTACAGCAACCACACACCTACAACAACCACACACCTACAACAACCACACACCTACAACAACCACACACCTACACCAACCACACAACTATAACAACCACACCTACAACAACCACACACCTACAGCAACCACACACCTACAGCAACCACACACCTACAACAACCACACACCTACAACAACCACACACCTACAACAACCACACACCTACAACAACCACACACCTACAACAACCACACACCTACAACAACCACACACCTACAACAACCACACCTACAACCACACACCTACAGCAACCACACACCTACAACAACCACACACCTACAACAACCACACACCTACAACAACCACACACCTACAACAACCACATACCTACAACAACCACACAACTATAACAACCACACCTACAACAACCACACACCTACAGCAACCACACACCTACAGCAACCACACACCTACAACAACCACACACCTACAACAACCACACACCTACAACAACCACACACCTACAACAACCACACACCTACAACAACCACACCTACAACCACACACCTACAACAACCACACACCTACAACAACCACACACCTACAACAACCACACACCTACAACAACCACACACCTACAACAACCACACCTACAACCACACACCTACAGCAACCACACACCTACAGCAACCACACACCTACAACAACCACACCTACAGCAACCACACACCTACAACAACCACACCTACAGCAACCACACACCTACAGCAACCACACACCTACAACAACCACACACCTACAGCAACCACACAACTACAACAACCACACACCTACAACAACCACACACCTACAGCAACCACACACCTACAGAGACAGGCCTTACACCAATGCCAGCAATAAATAACAAGAGGAGTGTGTACAGTAAGTGTGTACTGGCCAGTGTGTACAGCAAGTGTGTACTGGCCAGTGTGTACAGCAAGTTGTACTGGCCAGTGTGTACAGCAAGTTGTACTGGCCAGTGTGTACAGCAAGTGTGTACTGGCCAGTGTGTATAGCAAGTGTGTACTGGCCAGTGTGTACTGGCCAGTGTGTACTGGCCAGTGTGTACTGGCCAGTGTGTACAGCAAGTGTGTACTGGCCAGTGTGTACAGCAAGTGTGTACTGGCCAGTGCTGGGACAGTCAGTGCCTTCAGTCTCATCTGTATCAGCTGAGGTCATGTTACTTTAGCTGACTGCAGTAGTGTGAGGTAATGTTACTTTAGCTGACTGCAGTAGTGTGAGGTAATGTTACTTTAGCTGAGAGCTGACTGCAGTAGTGTGAGGTAATGTTACTTTAGCTGAGAGCTGACTGCAGTAGTGTGAGGTAATGTTACTTTAGCTGAGAGCTGACTGCAGTAGTGTGAGGTAATGTTACTTTAGCTGACTGCAGTAGTGTGAGGTCATGTTACTTTAGCTGAGAGCTGACTGCAGTAGTGTGAGGTAATGTTACTTTAGCTGAGAGCTGACTGCAGTAGTGTAAGGTAATGTTACTTTAGCTGACTGCAGTAGTGTGAGGTAATGTTACTTTAGCGTACTGCAGTAGGGTGGGGTAATGTTACTTTAGCTGAGAGCTGACTGCAGTAGTGTGAGGTAATGTTACTTTAGCTGAGAGCTGACTGCAGTAGTGTGAGGTAATGTTACTTTAGCTGAGTGCTGACTGCAGTAGTGTGAGGTAATGTTACTTTAGCTGAGAGCTGACTGCAGTAATGTGAGGTAATGTTACTTTAGCTGAGAGCTGACTGCAGTAGTGTGAGGTAATGTTACTTTAGCTGAGAGCTGACTGCAGTAATGTGAGGTAATGATCGAGCGTTGTCCTGGCATCAAACTGCTCACTCAGGCCAATCATGTTGATGTTGGCCTTCCTGTAGCTGTACAGGATCTCCAGGTCTTGAAATGATTTGACAGCAGACTTCAAGTTCATCATGGCGGAGCTTTCAGCTGGAACAGGCAGTACATGGGGTCACTTTGTACCTAGTAGGTACATGGGGTCACTTTGTATCTAGTAGGTACATGGGGTCACTTTGTACCTAGTAGGTACATGGGGTCACTTTGTATCTAGTAGGTACATGGGGTCACTTTGTACCTAGTAGGTACATGGGGTCACTTTGTATCTAGTAGGTACATGGGGTCACTTTGTACCTAGTAGGTACATGGGGTCACTTTGTATCTAGTAGGTACATGGGGTCACTTTGTACCTAGTAGGTACATGGGGTCACTTTGTATCTAGTAGGTACATGGGGTCACTTTGTATCTAGTAGGTACATGGGGTCACTTTGTATCTAGTAGGTACATGGGGTCACTTTGTATCTAGTAGGTACATGGGGTCACTTTGTATCTAGTAGGTACATGGGGTCACTTTGTACCTAGTAGGTACATGGGGTCACTTTGTATCTAGTAGGTACATGGGGTCACTTTGTATCTAGTAGGTACATGGGCTCACTTTGTATCTAGTAGGTACATGGGGTCACTTTGTATCTAGTAGGTACATGGGGTCACTTTGTACCTAGTAGGTACATGGGGTCACTTTGTATCTAGTAGTAGGTACATGGGGTCACTTTGTACCTAGTAGGTACATGGGGTCACTTTGTGTCTAGTAGGTACATGGGGTCACTTTGTATCTAGTAGGTACATGGGGTCACTTTGTACCTAGTAGGTACATGGGGTCACTTTGTATCTAGTAGGTACATGGGGTCACTTTGTATCTAGTAGGTACATGGGGTCACTTTGTATCTAGTAGGTACATGGGGTCACTTTGTATCTAGTAGGTACATGGGGTCACTTTGTATCTAGTAGGTACATGGGGTCACTTTGTATCTAGTAGGTACATGGGGTCACTTTGTATCTAGTAGGTACATGGGGTCACTTTGTATCTAGTAGGTACATGGGGTCACTTTGTATCTAGTAGGTACATGGGGTCACTTTGTATCTAGTAGGTACATGGGGTCACTTTGTATCTAGTAGGTACATGGGGTCACTTTGTATCTAGTAGGTACATGAGGTCACTTTGTATCTAGTAGGTACATGGGCTCACTTTGTATCTAGTAGGTACATGGGGTCACTTTGTATCTAGTAGGTACATGGGGTCACTTTGTATCTAGTAGGTACATGGGGTCACTTTGTATCTAGTAGGTACATGGGGTCACTTTGTATCTAGTAGGTACATGGGGTCACTTTGTATCTAGTAGGTACATGGGGTCACTTTGTACCTAGTAGGTACATGGGGTCACTTTGTACCTAGTCAGTCACGCGGGCATTAGGCAGATAAAAAGTACTTACAGTCATGTGCTAATGCTTATACTTACAGTAATGTGCTAATACTTACAGTAATGTGCTAATGATAGTACTTACAGTCATGTGCTAGTACTTACAGTAATGTGTTAACGCTAATACTTACAGTAATGTGCTAACGCTAGTACTTACAGTAATGTGCTAATGATAGTACTTACAGTCATGTGCTAGTACTTACAGTAATGTGCTAACGCTAGTACTTACAGTAATGTGCTAATGCTAGTACTTACAGTAATGTGCTAATGCTAGTACTTACAGTAATGTGCTAATGCTAGTACTTACAGTAATGTGCTAATGCTAGTACTTACAGTAATGTGCTAATGCTAGTACTTACAGTAATGTGCTAATGCTAGTACTTACAGTAATGTGCTAATGCTAGTACTTACAGTAATGTGCTAATGCTAGTACTTACAGTAATGTGCTAATGCTAATACTTACAGTAATGTGCTAACGCTAGTACTTACAGTAATGTGCTAATCCTTCATCAACCCTCTGTCTGGCACTTTCTCCAACATTCATCAAGAAATCTTCTTCTGTTAACAAACCACCAGTAAACAAGTTATCTCCATGGCAACGCTATCAATATGTTTATGGCTTACACCATATATATAAATCTCACTACCATTTTTTAAACCATTTCCAAATTTAGTAATTGACCCAATTTTATTGCAAGGTATATCCATCATGTGGCAAGGTCAAAAGTATTTAAACACAGAGGTTTGAAATGTCTCATGGTTTCCCATGTTTGTTTTAGTCTTGTCTTTATATTAATAATTTTGAAAACTTTTCTTTTTATAGCTGTAATGTTCTTTAGTATGTCTTATTCTAATGATGCTTTTTAATTTGCTTAGTACAAAGCTATTTCAATGAGCTTGATTAGACTATTTAAAGATAAGTCATGGAAGTGGTTTGAATGGTTGATGCAATTTTAATTTGTCTATACAACACTGTGTGTTAGTTGCTGTAGAATAAAACTGCTATAGTAGATCTGAACCACACCTGGCCTATAAACACCTGTACCACACCTGTACTATAAACACCTGTACCACACCTGGCCTGTAAACACCTGTACTTACCTATACTATAAACACCTGTACCACACCTGGCTATAAACACCTGTACCACACCTGTACTATAAACACCTGTACCACACCTGGCCTGTAAACACCTGTACCACACCTGGCCTGTAAACACCTGTACCACACCTGGCCTGTAAACACCTGTACCACACCTGGCCTATAAACACCTGTACCACACCTGGCCTGTAAACACCTGTACCACACCTGGCCTATAAACACCTGTACCACACCTGGCCTGTAAACACCTGTACCACACCTGGCCTATAAACACCTGTACCACACCTGTACTATAAACACCTGTACCACACCTGGCCTGTAAACACCTGGCCTGTAAACACCTGTACTTACCTGGCTATAAACACCTGTACTTACCTGGCTATAAACACCTGTACCACACCTGTACTATAAACACCTGTACCACACCTGGCCTATAAACACCTGTACCACACCTGGCCTGTAAACACCTGGCCTGTAAACACCTGTACCACAACTGCCTATAAACACCTGTACCACACCTGGCCTGTAAACACCTGGCCTGTAAACACCTGTACCACAACTGCCTATAAACACCTGTACCACACCTGGCCTGTAAACACCTGGCCTGTAAACACCTGTACCACAACTGCCTATAAACACCTGTACCACACCTGGCCTATAAACACCTGTACTTACCTGGCTGCTCTGAGAGCAACTCTGTCAGTGAGTATTTGGCAACCACCAGGTGTGACTCAAGTGCAGGGCCTAGAACTGTCACCAGGAACAAGAGACGCTCCCTCACATCTGCTCTGTCTACATTCACCTGAGGGGTCAGAGTTGAATCAAGGAGTACCTCTGAATATTTATATATATATATATATATATATATATATATATATATATATATATATATATATAAATATATAAATAAATATATAAATGAATCTATAATAATAGTTTCGCTGTCTGTGTATCTGACAAGAACGCTCTGTCTGACAAGAACGCTCTAGAGAAAACACAAGCAATTTAAAAACATGCACAGTAATTCGAAAAACGAAATATGACGTCGACACATTTAGCGTAGAGTAGAACATAATCTCAAACCAGAGAGTGCACACAGTAATGTAATGACGTCATTGATTCTCGCGTAAACATTGAAAAAAAGGAAATGTTGTCTAATCTAAATGGTTTGCGTGAAGAGTTTCTTGCATACAATTCTTCGGGTAGGGGCGAAGCCCCACCCCCCGCGTAAGAACGTCTGAGCCCCCCCCCCCCTCCCCAACTCAAAAGAAATTTCCTCATCGATACTCTATAATAAAATTACCGCCTAATTAATGTGTCTAATCTAAAAAGTGGTTTTCTTGCAATGGGACGGTAGACATGTTTTTTTTTGGGGCGGGGGGGGGGGTGGAGGGGTGGGGGGGGTGTGTGGGGGGGGGGGGGGGGTGTGTGGGGGTGGGGTGGGGAGGGGGGTGGGGGGTGGAGGGGTGGGTGGTGTGTGGAGGGGTGGGGGGGGGGTGTGGGGGGGGTGGTGTGTGGGGGTGGGGAGGGGGGTGGGGAGTGGGGTGGGGGGTGGTGTGTGGGGGGGTGGGTTGGTTTCAGTGTTTCTTTCAGACTTTTTCCTCCCCAGAGAGGGGTGGGGGTACTTGAAATTTTCTGGGGCGGGGGTAGAATTTTCTGGGAGGGGGCGGACACTGGAAAAAGTATATAATTATATTTCGTTGAATGGGACGGTAGACATGTTTTTTTTGGGGGTGGGGGGGGTGGTGGGTGGGGTGGGGGTGGGGGGTGGTGTGTGTGGGGGGTGTGGGGGGTGGGTTGGTTTTAGTTTAGAGAAAAGAGACAGCACTATCAACCTAGCGCCCGGTGTATCCTTCCTCAACGGGCCATTTTTCTCGTATATAAATAAATATATAAAGAAATATAAAGAAAAAATATATAAATAAATACATATGCATAAATATAAAAATAAATAAATACATATGACTCAATGTTTCTCTCTAATGACTCCCCATGACTCACCTGAAGAGTCTGCTGGTGAGTGAATGACTCACTGACCTCCTCGTCATCCACATCCATACACAGAGCCAGCCTGTCAGACCAGCGTCTGTCTTTACCAGCAAACAGCAGACTGTCATTCTAAGTGACAGACAACACAAGACTGTCATTCTAAGCTAACTTAGACTAGCTAGCCGACTAGCTAGACACAGACAACTTGGACTAGCTAGCCACAGACAACTTGGACTAGCTAGCCACAGACAACTTGGACTAGCTAGCCGACTAGCTAGACACAGACAACTTGGACTAGCTAGCCACAGACAACTTGGACTAGCTAGCCACAGACAACTTGGACTAGCTAGACACAGACAACTTGGACTAGCTAGACACAGACAACTTGGACTAGCTAGCCGCAGACAATATGGACTAGCTAGCCGCAGACAACTTGGACTAGCTAGCCGACTAGCTAGACACAGACAACTTGGACTAGCTAGCCACAGACAACTTGGACTAGCTAGACACAGACAACTTGGACTAGCTAGCCGCAGACAATATGGACTAACTAGCCACAGACAACCTGGACTAGCTAGACACAGACAACTTGGACTAGCTAGACACAGACAACCTGGACTAGCTAGACACAGACAACTTGGACTAGCTAGACACAGACAACTTGGACTAGCTAGACACAGACAACCTGGACTAGCTAGACACAGACAACTTGGTCTAGCTAGACACAGACAACTTGGTCTAGCTAGACACAGACAACTTGGACTAGCTAGACACAGACAACTTGGTCTAGCTAGACACAGACAACTTGGACTAGCTAGCCGCAGCTAGTATGACATTAAAAAAACCTCACATTGCTGTCAGTTTCTGTTGATAAAATCTCCTTGGAAATAAAAGCTTCCACCATGTCATGCAGCGCAGCGTTGACAGTCTGGCAAGGCTGAAAGGACAGACATTTTGACTTACTGACACAAATGACAACTTTTTGACAGACAGTCACAGATGACAACATTTAGACAGACAGTCACAGATGACAACATTTTGACTTACTGACACAAATGACAACATTTTGACTGACAGTCACAGATGACAACATTTTGACAGACAGTCACAGATGACAACATTTAGACAGACAGTCACAGATGACAACATTTTGACAGACAGTCACAGATGACAACATTTAGACAGACAGTCACAGATGACAACATTTTGACAGACAGTCACAGATGACAACATTTAGACAGACAGTCACAGATGACAACATTTTGACAGACAGTCACAGATGACAACATTTAGACAGACAGTCACAGATGACAACATTTTGACTGACTGACATAGATGACAACATTTTGACTGACTGACACAGATGACAACATTTTGACAGACATTCACAGATGACAACATTTAGACAGACATCACAGATGACAACATTTTGACTGACACAGATGACAACATTTTGACAGACATTCACAGATGACAACATTTTGACAGACATCACAGATGAGAACATTTTGACTGACACAGATGACAACATTTAGACAGACATCACAGATGACAACATTTTGACTGACACAGATGACAACATTTAGACAGACATCACAGATGACAACATTTTGACTGACACAGATGACAACATTTAGACAGACATCACAGATGACAACATTTTGACTGACACAGATGACAACATTTTGACAGACATCACAGATGAGAACATTTTGACTGACACAGATGACAACATTTAGACAGACATCACAGATGAGAACATTTTGACTGACACAGATGACAACATTTAGACAGACATCACAGATGAGAACATTTTGACTGACACAGATGACAACATTTAGACAGACATCACAGATGAGAACATTTTGACTGACACAGATGACAACATTTAGACAGACATCACAGATGAGAACATTTTGACTGACACAGATGACAACATTTAGACAGACAGTCACAGATGACAACATTTAGACAGACAGTCACAGATGACAACATTTAGACAGACAGTCACAGATGACATCATTTAGACAGACAGTCACAGATGACAACATTTAGACAGACAGTCACGGATGACAACATTTAGACAGACAGTCACAGATGACAACATTTAGACAGACAGTCACAGATGACAACATTTAGACAGACAGTCACAGATGACAACATTTAGACAGACAGTCACGGATGACAACATTTAGACAGACAGTCACAGATGACAACATTTAGACAGACAGTCACAGATGACAACATTTAGACAGACAGTCACAGATGACAACATTTAGACAGACAGTCACGGATGACAACATTTAGACAGTCACAGATGACAACATTTAGACAGACAGTCACAGATGACAACATTTAGACAGACAGTCACAGATGACAACATTTAGACAGTCACAGATGACAACATTTAGACAGACAGTCACAGATGACAACATTTAGACAGTCACAGATGACAACATTTAGACAGACAGTCACAGATGACAACATTTAGACAGACAGTCACAGATGACAACATTTAGACAGACAGTCACAGATGACAACATTTAGACAGTCACAGATGACAACATTTAGACAGACATCACAGATGACAACATTTTGACAGACATCACAGATGAGAACATTTTGACTGACACAGACGACAACATTTAGACAGACAGTCACAGATGACAACATTTAGACAGACAGTCACAGATGACAACATTTAGACAGACAGTCACAGATGACATCATTTAGACAGACAGTCACAGATGACAACATTTAGACAGACAGTCACGGATGACAACATTTAGACAGACAGTCACAGATGACAACATTTAGACAGACAGTCACAGATGACAACATTTAGACAGACAGTCACAGATGACAACATTTAGACAGACAGTCACGGATGACAACATTTAGACAGACAGTCACAGATGACAACATTTAGACAGACAGTCACAGATGACAACATTTAGACAGACAGTCACAGATGACAACATTTAGACAGACAGTCACGGATGACAACATTTAGACAGTCACAGATGACAACATTTAGACAGACAGTCACAGATGACAACATTTAGACAGACAGTCACAGATGACAACATTTAGACAGTCACAGATGACAACATTTAGACAGACAGTCACAGATGACAACATTTAGACAGACAGACCAGGATTAAGAAAATGTGGACAGCCTACAAAGAAAAACTTACAGGCACAAAAATATATTCATTGTGGATGACCAGACACAGCTCCTCGGCCACTTCTAGCAGCCTCTCTCTGCTGACTTCTCTCTGTTGGCTGCCTGGCTGAAGGTTGTGGACAGAAAGGTTCCCAGCTAGCAGTACAGCTATGGCTGAAAATAGAAATGTTCCCAGCTAGCAGTACAGCCACTCACCTAGAGAAGACAGACAGACAGACAGATTAGACAGACAGACAGACAGATGGACAGACTGAGCCACTCACCTAGAGAAGACAGACAGACAGACAGACAGATTAGACAGACAGACAGACAGATGGACAGACTGAGCCACTCACCTAGAACAGACAGACAGACAGATGGACAGACAGGCAGACAGATGGACAGACTGAGCCACTCACCTAGAGCAGGCAGACAGACAGACAGACAGGTGGACAGACAGGCAGACAGATGGACAGACTGAGCCACTCACCTAGAGCAGACAGACAGACAGATGGACAGACTGAGCCACTCACCTAGAGCAGACATACAGACAGATAGATGGACAGACAGATGGACAGACTGAGCCACTCACCTAGAGCAGGCAGACAGACAGACAGACAGATGGACAGACAGGCAGACAGATGGACAGACTGAGCCACTCACCTAGAGCAGACAGACAGACAGACAGATGGACAGACTGAGCCACTCACCTAGAGCAGACATACAGACAGATGGACAGACAGATGGACAGACAGATGGACAGACTGTGCCACTCACCTAGAGCAGGCAGACAGACAGACAGACAGACAGACAGACTGTGCCACTCACCTAGAGCAGGCAGACAGACAGACAGACAGATGGACAGACAGGCAGACAGATGGACAGACTGAGCCACTCACCTAGAGCAGACAGACAGACAGACAGATGGACAGACTGAGCCACTCACCTAGAGCAGACATACAGACAGATGGACAGACAGATGGACAGACAGATGGACAGACTGTGCCACTCACCTAGAGCAGGCAGACAGACAGACAGACAGGTGGACAGACAGGCAGACAGATGGACAGACTGAGCCACTCACCTAGAGCAGACAGACAGACAGACAGATGGACAGACTGAGCCACTCACCTAGAGCAGACATACAGACAGACAGATGGACAGACTGAGCCACTCACCTAGAACAGACAGACAGACAGATGGACAGACAGGCAGACAGATGGACAGACTGAGCCACTCACCTAGAGCAGGCAGACAGACAGACAGACAGGTGGACAGACAGGCAGACAGATGGACAGACTGAGCCACTCACCTAGAGCAGACAGACAGACAGACAGATGGACAGACTGAGCCACTCACCTAGAGCAGACATACAGACAGATAGATGGACAGACAGATGGACAGACTGAGCCACTCACCTAGAGCAGGCAGACAGACAGACAGACAGATGGACAGACAGGCAGACAGATGGACAGACTGAGCCACTCACCTAGAGCAGACAGACAGACAGACAGATGGACAGACTGAGCCACTCACCTAGAGCAGACATACAGACAGATGGACAGACAGATGGACAGACAGATGGACAGACTGTGCCACTCACCTAGAGCAGGCAGACAGACAGACAGACAGACAGACTGTGCCACTCACCTAGAGCAGGCAGACAGACAGACAGACAGATGGACAGACAGGCAGACAGATGGACAGACTGAGCCACTCACCTAGAGCAGACAGACAGACAGACAGATGGACAGACTGAGCCACTCACCTAGAGCAGACATACAGACAGATGGACAGACAGATGGACAGACAGATGGACAGACTGTGCCACTCACCTAGAGCAGGCAGACAGACAGACAGACAGACAGACAGACTGTGCCACTCACCTAGAGCACTCTCTAGAGCAAAATGTGTGGTGACCAGATTGGAATAATAGCTGAGCTCAAAGACAAAAGGCAAGCTGAGGTTTGGGTAAAGCTTGAGATCATTGTTCTCCTCATACCTGAAACATGTTGGCTGACTGTGTCTAATCAAATAGCTGGACAAGGTACACATGTTAGGTAAACACTGGATCCACCCACACAAAGGTAAACACTGGATCCACCCACACTAAGGTAAACATTGGATCCACCCACACTAAGGTAAACACTGGATCCACCCACACTAAGGTAAACATTGTATCCACCCACACAAAGGTAAACATTGGATCCACCCACACAAAGGTAAACATTGGATCCACCCACACTAAGGTAAACATTGTATCCACCCACACAAAGGTAAACATTGGATCCACCCACACAAAGGTAAACATTGGATCCACCCACACTAAGGTAAACATTGGATCCACCCACACTAAGGTAAACATTGGATCCACCCACACTAAGGTAAACATTGGATCCACCCACACAAAGGTAAACATTGGATCCACCCACACTAAGGTAAACATTGGATCCACCCACACAAAGGTAAACACTGGATCCACCCACACAAAGGTAAACATTGGATCCACCCACACTAAGGTAAACATTGGATCCACTGACACAAAGGTAAACATTGGATCCACCCACACTAAGGTAAACATTGTATCCACCCACACAAAGGTAAACATTGGATCCACCCACACTAAGGTAAACATTGGATCCACCCACACTAAGGTAAACATTGGATCCACCCACACTAAGGTAAACATTGGATCCACCCACACTAAGGTAAACATTGGATCCACCCACACTAAGGTAAACATTGGATCCACCCACACTAAGGTAAACATTGGATCCACCCACACTAAGGTAAACATTGGATCCACCCACACTAAGGTAAACATTGGATCCACCCACACTAAGGTAAACATTGGATCCACCCACACTGTGGTTCAAGTTATGCATGAACGTTCAGATCACCAACATGTATATTGTCAATATTTCACTGTCACTGTTGTCTGTTATGCTGGTTGATTGTTTCAGTAACTACATAACATGATGGGCTCCTAATCTTGCACCAACCAACAGACCAGCACCTAACAGACCAGCACCCAACAGACCAGCACCTAACAGACCAGCACCCAACAGACCAGCACCCAACAGACCAGCACCTAACAGACAGACCAGCACCTAACAGACAGACCAGCACCCAACAGACAGACCAGCACCTAACAGACCAGCACCCAACAGACAGACCAGCACCTAACAGACAGACCAGCACCTAACAGACAGACCAGCACCCAACAGACAGACCAGCACCTAACAGACCAGCACCCAACAGACAGACCAGCACCTAACAGACAGACCAGCACCTAACAGACAGACCAGCACCCAACAGACAGACCAGCACCTAACAGACCAGCACCCAACAGACAGACCAGCACCCAACAGACCAGCACCCAACAGACAGACCAGCACCCAACAGACCAGCACCTAACAGACAGACCAGCACCCAACAGACAGACCAGCACCCAACAGACAGACCAGCACCTAACAGACAGACCAGCACCTAACAGACCAGCACCCAACAGACCAGCACCTAACAGACAGACCAGCACCCAACAGACAGACCAGCACCCAACAGACAGACTAGCACCCAACAGACCAGCACCCAACAGACAGACCAGCACCCAACAGACAGACTAGCACCCAACAGACCAGCACCTAACAGACCAGCACCCAACAGACAGACCAGCACCCAACAGACAGACCAGCACCTAACAGACAGACCAGCACCCAACAGACAGACCAGCACCTAACAGACAGACCAGCACCTAACAGACCAGCACCTAACAGACAGACCAGCACCCAACAGACAGACCAGCACCCAACAGACCAGCACCCAACAGACCAGCACCCAACAGACCAGCACCCAACAGACCAGCACCTAACAGACAGACCAGCACCTAACAGACAGACCAGCACCCAACAGACAGACCAGCACCCAACAGACCAGCACCCAACAGACCAGCACCTAACAGACAGACCAGCACCTAACAGACAGACCAGCACCCAACAGACAGACCAGCACCCAACAGACCAGCACCCAACAGACCAGCACCCAACAGACCAGCACCCAACAGACCAGCACCCAACAGACCAGTACCCAACAGACCAGCACCCAACAGACAGACCAGCACCCAACAGACAGACCAGCACCCAACAGAGCAGCACCCAACAGACAGACCAGCACCCAACAGACAGACTAGCACCCAACAGACAGACCAGCACCCAACAGACAGACCAGCACCCAACAGACAGACCAGCACCCAACAGACAGACCAGCACCCAACAGACAGACCAGCACCTAACAGACTAGCACCCAAGAGACCAGCACCCAACAGACAGACCAGCACCTAACAGACCAGCACCTAACAGACAGACCAGCACCCAACAGACAGACCAGCACCCAACAGACAGACCAGCACCCAACAGACAGACCAGCACCTAACAGACAGACCAGCACCCAACAGACAGACCAGCACTCAACAGACAGACCTGCACCTAACAGACAGACCAGCACCCAACAGACAGACCAGCACCTAACAGACAGACCAGCACCCAACAGACAGACCAGCACCTAACAGACAGACCAGCACCCAACAGACTAGCACCCAAGAGACCAGCACCCAACAGACCAGCACCCAACAGACAGACCAGCACCCAACAGACAGACCAGCACCTAACAGACAGACCAGCACCTAACAGACCAGCACCCAACAGACAGACCAGCACCTAACAGACAGACCAGCACCTAACAGACAGACCAGCACCTAACAGACCAGCACCCAACAGACCAGCACCCAACAGACAGACCAGCACCCAACAGACAGACCAGCACCCAACAGACAGACCAGCACCTAACAAACAGACCAGCACCCAACAGACCAGCACCCAACAGACCAGCACCCAACAGACCAGCACCCAACAGACAGACTAGCACCCAACAGACAGACCAGCACCTAACAGACAGACTAGCACCCAACAGACAGACCAGCACCCAACAGACCAGCACCCAACAGACAGACTAGCACCCAACAGACAGACCAGCACCTAACAGACAGACTAGCACCCAACAGACAGACCAGCACCCAACAGACCAGCACCCAACAGACGGACCAGCACCTAACAGACAGACCAACTTACCACTTCTTGCTGACCAATGTGTCCCCCAGTAGAGTCTGAGCGTAGAGTATGACATCCTCTGGCTGACCACAAAAGCCAACATCTTTGTGTTGGGCTTGAAGTTCCCTGACCAGCCAATGGACAGCTTTGGTCAATTCCCTCAAGTATGTACCCTGGCAATCAGATTTACATCAAGTATGTACCCTGGCAATCAGATTTACATCAAGTATGTACCCTGGCAATCAGATTTACATCAAGTATGTACCCTGGCAATCAGATTTACATCAAGTATGTACCCTGGCAATCAGATTTACATCAAGTATGTACCCTGGCAATCAGATTTACATCAAGTATGTACCCTGACAATCAGATTTACATCAAGTATGTACCCTGGCAATTAGATTTACATCAAGTATGTACCCTGACAATTAGATTTACATAAAGTATGTATCCTGACAATTAGATTTACATCAAGTATGTACCCTGGCCATTAAATTTACAACATCAAGAATGTACACTGGCCATTAGATTTACAACATCTAGTATGTACCCTGACAATCAGATTTACAACATCAAGTATGACAAAGTCTGTAGAAAGCCCTCTGTGGGGTACCAATGGGAGCTTGTAGAATGGTGGTCAAGCTACCAATGGGAGCTTGTAGAATGGTGGTCAAGCTACCAATGGGAGTGTAGCTTGTAGAATGGTGGTCAAGCTACCAATGGGAGTGTAGCTTGTAGAATGGTGGTCAAGCTACCAATGGGAGCTTGTAGAATGGTGGTCAAGCTACCAATGGGAGTGTAGCTTGTAGAATGGTGGTCAAGCTACCAATGGGAGTGTAGCTTATAGAATGGTGGTCAAGCTACCAATGGGAGCTTGTAGAATGGTGGTCAAGCTACCAATGGGAGCTTGTAGAATGGTGGTCAAGCTGCCAATGGGAGTGTGGCTTGTAGAATGGTGGTCAAGCTACCAATGGCAGTGTAGCTTGTAGAATGGTGGTCAAGCTACCAATGGCAGTGTTGCTTGTAGAATGGTGGTCAAGCTACCAATGGGAGTGTAGCTTGTAGAATGGTGGTCAAGCTACCAATGGGAGTGTAGCTTGTAGAATGGTGGTCAAGCTACCAATGGCAGTGTTGCTTGTAGAATGGTGGTCAAGCTACCAATGGGAGTGTAGCTTGTAGAATGGTGGTCAAGCTACCAATGGGAGTGTAGCTTACCTGTCTGTAGCCTGTATCCAACAACTTACCTGTCTGTAGCCTGTATCCAACAACTTACCTGTCTGTAGCCTGTATCCAACAACTTACCTGTCTGTAGCCTGTATCCAGCAACTTACCTGTCTGTAGCCTGTATCCAACAACTTACCTGTCTGTAGCCTGTATCCAGCAACTTACCTGTCTGTAGCCTGTATCCAGCAACTTACCTGTCTGTAGCCTGTATCCAGCAACTTACCTGTCTGTAGCCTGTATCCAACAACTTACCTGTCTGTAGCCTGTATCCAACAACTTACCTGTCTGTAGCCTGTATCCAACAACTTACCTGTCTGTAGCCTGTATCCAACAATTTACCTGTGAATCAAACAACTTACCTGTCTGTAGCCTGTATCCAACAATTTACCTGTGAATCAAACAACTTACCTGTCTGTAGCCTGTATCCAACAATTTACCTGTGAATCAAACAACTTACCTGTCTGTAGCCTGTATCCAACAATTTACCTGTCTGTAGCCTGTATCAAACAACTTACCTGTCTGTACTTGGTCAAGAGTAGAAAAGCCACCAGGTGTGTGGCCATAGGTGCAGTGCACTGGTCACTGGCTGCAATAATACAGGTAGATTTTGTCAGTACAGGTAGATTTTGTCAGTACAGGTAGATTTTGTCAGTATAGGTATATTTTGTCAGTACTGGTAGATTTTGTCAGTACTGGTAGATTTTGTCAGACAGGTAGATTTTGTCAGTACAGGTAGATTTTGTCAGTACATGTAGATTTTGTAAGTATAGGTAGATTTTGTCAATACAGGTAGATTTTGTCAGTGCAGGTTGATTTTGTCAGACAGGTAGATTTTGTCAGTACAGGTAGATTTTGTCAGTACAGGTAGATTTTGTCAGACAGGTAGATTTTGTCAGTACAGGTAGATTTTGTCAGTACATGTAGATTTTGTCAGTAAAGGTAGATTTTATCAGACACGTAGATTTTGTCAGTACAGGTAGATTTTGTCAGTACAGGTAGATTTTGTCAGTACAGGTAGATTTTGTCAGTACAGGTAGATTTTGTCAGTACAGGTAGATTTTGTCAGTACAGGTAGATTTTGTCAGTACAGGTAGATTTTGTCAGTACAGGTAGATTTTGTCAGTACAGGTAGATTTTGTCAGTACAGGTAGATTTTGTCAGTACAGGTAGATTTTGTCAGTACAGGTAGATTTTGTCAGTACAGGTAGATTTTGTCAGTACATGTAGATTTTGTCAGTAAAGGTAGATTTTATCAGACACGTAGATTTTGTCAGTACAGGTAGATTTTGTCAGTACAGGTAGATTTTGTCAGTACAGGTAGATTTTGTCAGTACAGGTAGATTTTGTCAGTACAGGTAGATTTTGTCAGTACAGGTAGATTTTGTCAGTACAGGTAGATTTTGTCAGTACAGGTGATGGTCCTAATATAGGGAGCCAAGCAAAAGGCCTTACTGTAAACTGTGTGGTCAGCCAAAGCCTTGACCAGCAACCTGGTGTTCTCAGACTCCTCGCTGAGGGCCAGAGAAAAGTTGGGGTAGGAGGTGCCAGACTCCATGGCAGCTCTGTCAGCTGACACAGGTGACGTACTGCCAGGTGTCGCCGGTGACGTCACACAGTGGTACGGATTGCCTTTGTTGTGTTGGATAAACTCCTGGAGAGGAATCACACACATCCAACATCACACATCAAATATCACACATCAAATGTCACAATCAAATGTCACACATCAAATCTCTAAGTCACTGCACATAAAACCTACCATAGATGCACATGAAACCTACCATAGCAGCACATGAAACCTACCATAGCTGCACATGAAACCTACCATAGCTGCACATGAAACCTACCATAGCTGCACATGAAACCTACCATAGCTGCACATAAAACCTACCATAGATGCACATGAAACCTACCATAGCAGCACATGAAACCTACCATAGCTGCACATGAAACCTACCATAGCTGCACATGAAACCTACCATAGCTGCACATGAAACCTACCGTAGCTGCACATGAAACCTACCATAGCTGCACATGAAACCTACCACAGCTGCACATGAAACCTACCACAGCTGCACATGAAACCTACCATAGCTGCACATGAAACCTACCGTAGCTGCACATGAAACCTACCATAGCTGCACATGAAACCTACCATAGCTGCACATGAAACCTACCATAGATGCACATGAAACCTACCATAGCTGCACATGAAACCTACCATAGCTGCACATGAAACCTACCATAGCTGCACATGAAACCTACCATAGCTGCACATGAAACCTATCATAGCTGCACATGAAACCTACCCTAAGAGAAAATGGCTGAGCAAAGTCTACCCGGACACTACCATAGCTGCACATGAAACCTACCATAGCTGCACATGAAACCTACCCTAAGAGAAAATGGCTGAGCAAAGTCTACCCGGACACTTCCATAGCTGCTGAAAAAGACTCGGAAAATTCCTTTGACAGCTCCCCAAAATGACTCTCTCACTTTACGCATGCCCTGCAATAAGAGAAAAACAAAGGGAGGATAAACCCTTCATTGGCTACAACGTGTGAATTGGTTAAGTTTACTGGCTTGAATTGTTATTTTGATAATCTATTCATTAGTCATATACGGTTGCCTACCACAGCAAAATTTGACATAATAAAACAAGTTTGCATTGAAAAGCTAAAGGTTTTGACCAGTGTGAGACCTACCATTTGTTCCCTGTAATAATAGCCATCAATAAGCTTCTCATAGCTGAAAGTCACTGGCACAATGTAGGCATCACACATTTCTCCTGCAACATTCAAAACATCAAAATACACAAACTGGCAATTTCTTTGGTACTTTAGCTGTTGGTGTGTGGGTGGGTAGGTGTGTGGGTGTGTGGGTGGGTAGCTGTGTGGGTGGGGTGGGTAGGTGTGTGGGTGTGTGGGTGGGTAGGTGTGTGTGTGTGTGTGTGTGGGTGGGTAGGTGTGTGGGTAGGTGTGTGGGTGTGTGTGTGTGTGTGTGGGTAGGTGTGTGTGTGGGGGTGGGTGTGTGTGTGTAGGTGTGTGTGGGTGGGTAGGTGTGTGTGTGTGGGTGGGTGTGTGTGTGTAGGTGTGTGTGGGTGGGTGTGTGTGTGTAGGTGTGTGTGGGTGGGTAGGTGTGTAGGTGTGTGTGCGGGTAGGTGTGTGTGTGTGCGGGTAGGTGTGTGTGTGAGTGGTGTAGAAATGGCTTACCTTCATTGCAAGCCTCTACAACAACTGGGTGTGTGTGTGGGTAGGTGGGTGGGTAGGTGGGTGTGGGTGGGTGGGTGTGTGTGTGTGTGTGTGTGTGGGTAGGTGGGTGGGTAGGTGTGTGTGGGTGGGTGGGTGTGTGTGTGGGCAGGTGGGTAGGTGTGTGTATGTGTGGGTCAGTAGGTGGGTGGGTGGGTGGGTAGGTGTGTGTGGGTGGGTGGGTGTGGGTAGGTGGGTGGGTAGGTGTGTGTGTGTGTGTGTGTGTGGGTAGGTGGGTGGGTAGGTGTGTGTGGGTGGGTGGGTGTGTGTGTGGGCAGGTGGGTAGGTGTGTGTATGTGTGGGTCGGTAGGTGGGTGGGTGGGTGGGTAGGTGTGTGTGGGTGGGTGGGTGTGTGTGTGCGGGCAGGTGGGTAGGTGTGTGTGTGTGTGGGTGTGTGAGTGGTGTAGAAATGGCTTACCTTCATTGCAAGCCTCTACAACAACTGGGTGTGTGGGTGGGTGTGTGGGTGGGGTGGGTAGGTGTGTGTGTGTGTGGGTGGGTAGGTGTGTGTGTGTGTGGGTGGGTAGGTGTCTCTGTGTGTGTGTGTGGGTGGGTGGTGTAGAAATGGCTTACCTTCATTGCAAGCCTCTACAACAACTGACAAGAGGCCTCCTTTAGGTGGCTTACCTTCATTGCAAGCCTCTACAACAACTGACAAGAGGCCTCCTTTAGGAATGACGGCCTTGCCAGTCCGAGTCCTCCCTCCCTCAACAAAAAACTCCAGGCTTTCCCCATGATGTAGCAGTGTTGTCATGTACTGAAACAAGGGTCAAAGTATCAACACAAGGTCAAGGCCATCCACTAAATCAGGGTCAAGGACAAGAGGTTTTTTTCTTACAAGACAAACAGCCACACATTGATACACACACACACAAACAGCCACACATTGATACACACACACAGCCACAAATTGATACACACATTTTAAACAGGCAATTAGTAATACAATTTAACTTTTAACCAACTACAAAAAATGTCTTTCGTAGATGGAGGCTTTTTTTAGGTTTCTTGGTAGATGTAGGGTTAAGCTAGTCTTAACCTGGTGCAGGATTAAGCTAATCTTTACCTGGTGTAGGATTAAGCTAATCTTTGATTTTAAGCTAATGTTTACCTGATGTAGGATTGCTCTGTATAAGACGTCTTTTTGACCCACTTTTGTATCCAAGCGACGGCGAATAAAAAATCCTCCTAAAGCTCTCATAAGTGAACTATAGAAATAAATTTAGAAAGACAGCATCAACAGAAAATAAAAATCCTCCTAAAGCTCTCATAAGTGAACTATAGAAATAAATTTAGAAAGACAGCATCAAGAGAAAATAAAAAATCCTCCTAAAGCTCTCATAAGTGAACTATAGAAATAAATTTAGAAAGACAGCATCAACAGAAAATAAAAAATCCTCCTAAAGCTCTCATAAGTGAACTATAGAAATAAATTTAGAAAGACAGCATCAACAGAAAATAAAAAAATCCCCCTAAAGCTCTCATAAGTGAAATATAGAAATAAATTTAGAAAGACAGCATCAACAGAAAATAAAAATCCTCCTAAAGCTCTCATAAGTGAACTATAGAAATAAATTTAGAAAGACAGCATCAAGAGAAAATAAAAAATCCTCCTAAAGCTCTCATAAGTGAACTATAGAAATAAATTTAGAAAGACAGCATCAACAGAAAATAAAAAATCCTCCTAAAGCTCTCATAAGTGAACTATAGAAATAAATTTAGAAAGACAGCATCAACAGAAAATAAAAAATCCTCCTAAAGCTCTCATAAGTGAACTATAGAAATAAATTTAGAAAGACAGCATCAACAGAAAATACTAGAGGTAGTACGCACAGGTAAGATGCCCTGGCACCTGGACAAGATGCCCTGGCACCTGGACAAGATGCCCTGGCACCTGGACAAGATGCCCTGGCACCTGGACAAGATGCCCTGGCACCTGGACAAGATGCCCTGGCACCTGGACAAGATGCCCTGGCACCTGGACAAGATGCCCTGGCACCTGGACAAGATGCCCTGGCACTTGGACAAGATGCCCTGGCACCTGGACAAGATGCCCTGGCACCTGGACAAGATGCCCTGACACCTGGACAAGATGCCCTGACACCTGGACAAGATGCCCTGGCACCTGGACAAGAAAGATGGACTTACTTAAACACTGGAATGTCCATATTATCACCAGCGGCAACATAAGGTGCTTTGATGTCGTAGTGCCATAGTATCAGAGTGACCAGGATGTAATCCAAGTGACTTCGATGGAGAGGCAGGTACACCATGGGGACACCTTTCTGTGGACACAGGTCAAGTGGACATTAACATGGGGACACCTTTCTGTGGACACAGGTCAAGTGGACATTAACATGGGGACACCTTTCTGTGGACACAGGTCAAGTGGACATTAACATGGGACACCTTTCTGTGGACACAGGTCAAGTGGACATTAACCAACTACAGGTCAAGTGGACATTAACATGGGGACACCTTTCTGTGGACACAGGTCAAGTGGACATTAACATGGGGACACCTTTCTGTGGACACAGGTCAAGTGGACATTAACATGGGGACACCTTTCTGTGGACACAGGTCAAGTGGACATTAACATGGGGACACCTTTCTGTGGACACAGGTCAAGTGGACATTAACCAACTACAGGTCAAGTGGACATTAACCAACTACAGGTCAAGTGGACATTAACCAACTACAGGTCAAGTTGACATTAACCACCTCTACTGACCAGACTGCTATTTTTAGCCTACCTCACTGGCCTGCTTGACCATCATCATCTGACCGCGACACACTTGCACACTGCGCAGAAACTTGGCAAGAAACTTCGTGAGAAACCAGGCTGTCAATCTGTAAAATGTCAGTTTAAAAGTCAAGACTTTACATACAGCTTAAGATGTCACATACAGCTGTAGATGTCACATACAGCTGTAGATGTCACAAACAGCTTTAGATGTTACATACAGCTGTAGATGTCACAAACAGCTTTAGATGTTACATACAGCTGTAGATGTCACATACAGCTTTAGATGTTACATACAGCTTTAGATGTCACATACAGCTTTATATGTTACATACAGCTTTAGATGTCACATACAGCTGTAGATGTCACATACAGCTTTAGTTTGTCGTATTTAACTTTAGTATGTCACATTCAACCTAAAATTGTATCAGCCTTCAAGTTAAATATTGTATTGGTAACTAGCAACAACTGGATACTCTAGTACAAGTGGTTAGCAAAGCGACAAAGAATTGAGCTCACTTGATAAATTATAAATACAGATGATATAGAAATGAGCTTACTTGATAAATACAGATGATATAGAAATGAGCTTACTTGATAAATACAGATGATATAGAAATGAGCTTACTTGATAAATACAGATGATATAGAAGCAATGAGACATAGAAATGAGCTTACTTGATAAATACAGATGATATAGAAATGAGCTTACTTAATAAATACAGATGATATAGAAGCCTTCATTTTATGAATGGTCACAAGACAACTCTTCTCAATTTGTTGTTTGGCCTGATGGCCTTCACCTGAAATACAGAAACTAGCTTGACCACAAACATCAACACAAACCTATACAATCATTTCACTAGTGGGCCTGTCTATCTATGTGTCAGGCTAATTGCTCTAGAGCTAACATAAGTAAAATAAAAAGTAGCACAGGGAACCAATATGATGTCACATGAAACAAAAATATTAAATAAATACAAATTAAAAGCAAAAAAAAAAAAACCCTTTTACAAACTTTTATCAAATGCACTAAAAAGGAGAGAAAAAAAGATTTTCTTTAAATATATAATAATGCATTACTATTTAAATAACTATAAAGAAAAGTGTGTGTCACTATATTATCTATTGGATACCTTCTAATATTTAGGAAGAGACCCACTTTTTTCTTTATAGTTATTTAAATTATTTAATTATTATATAATTCAAGAAAATCATTGATTTTCTCCTTTTTTGTTTATTATTATGTAAAAAATTGTTATTAAAAAGTTTTTTATGCAATGTTTTCTCAGTACTTTAAAATTTTTAATATAACAGAGCTTCATGATTAAAAATGAGTGCGCATCAAATGAATAAGATTTATTTATTTCTTAAAAAACGAATTAAGCAAACAATTAAGTCAAACTTGATGTCAGATGGCATTGTCTTCAAGACTTGACCCACGTGCCAAATTTTAAACAAATCCGTCAGTTAGAAGTGCTCAAAATTTTACTCGCACTTTTGGTTCTAAGACAACATATTAAATCTTGGAAAAGTACACAAAAAATTTGTTTGTGTAATATTAGAAGTGTATGTACATGTTCAGCAAAAAATTTGTTTGTGTAATATTAGAAGTGTATGTACATGTTCAGCAAAAAATTTGTTTGTGTAATATTAGAAGTGTATGTACATGTTCAGCAAAAAATTAAAAGTAAATATATACGGCAGTGGTACTAAGCACAGACTAAATCAGATGGTGAATTATACGTTGGGTGTGTCTTGACCTTTGCCAAACCACTGAGGCTGACTCACTGAACCTCTAGGGTTAGATCCAGCCCAGGTAAAGAACCAATGGTAAAGTGTTAGCCCAGGTAAAGAACCAATGGTAAAGTGTTAGCCCAGGTAAAGAACCAATGGTAAAGTGTTAGCCCAGGTAAAGAACCAATGGTAAAGTGTTAGCCCAGGTAAAGAACCAATGGTAAAGTGTTAGCCCAGGTAAAGAACCAATGGTAAAGTGTTAGCCCAGGTAAAGAACCAATGGTAAAGTGTTAGCCCAGGTAAAGAACCAATGGTAAAGTGTTAGCCCAGGTAAAGAACCAATGGTAAAGTGTTAGCCCAGGTAAAGAACCAATGGTAAAGTGTTAGCCCAGGTAAAGAACCAATGGTAAAGTGTTAGCCCAGGTAAAGAACCAATGGTAAAGTGTTAGCCCAGGTAAAGAACCAATGGTAAAGTGTTAGCCCAGGTAAAGAACCAATGGTAAAGTGTTAGCCCAGGTAAAGAACCAATGGTAAAGTGTTAGCCCAGGTAAAGAACCAATGGTAAAGTGTTAGCCCAGGTAAAGAACCAATGGTAAAGTGTTAGCCCAGGTAAAGAACCAATGGTAAAGTGTTAGCCCAGGTAAAGAACCAATGGTAAAGTGTTAGCCCAGGTAAAGAACCAATGGTAAAGTGTTAGCCCAGGTAAAGAACCAATGGTAAAGTGTTAGTCCAGGTAAAGAACCAATGGTAAAGTGTTAGCCCAGGTAAAGAACCAATGGTAAAGTGTTAGCCCAGGTAAAGAACCAATGGTAAAGTGTTAGCCCAGGTAAAGAACCAATGGTAAAGTGTTAGCCCAGGTAAAGAACCAATGGTAAAGTGTTAGCCCAGGTAAAGAACCAATGGTAAAGTGTTAGTCCAGGTAAAGAACCAATGGTAAAGTGTTAGCCCAGGTAAAGAACCAATGGTAAAGTGTTAGCCCAGGTAAAGAACCAATGGTAAAGTGTTAGCCCAGGTAAAGAACCAATGGTAAAGTGTTAGCCCAGGTAAAGAACCAATGGTAAAGTGTTAGCCCAGGTAAAGAACCAATGGTAAAGTGTTAGCCCAGGTAAAGAACCAATGGTAAAGTGTTAGCCCAGGTAAAGAACCAATGGTAAAGTGTTAGCCCAGGTAAAGAACCAATGGTAAAGTGTTAGCCCAGGTAAAGAACCAATGGTAAAGTGTTAGCCCAGGTAAAGAACCAATGGTAAAGTGTTAGCCCAGGTAAAGAACCAATGGTAAAGTGTTAGCCCAGGTAAAGAACCAATGGTAAAGTGTTAGTCCAGGTAAAGAACCAATGGTAAAGTGTTAGCCCAGGTAAAGAACCAATGGTAAAGTGTTAGCCCAGGTAAAGAACCAATGGTAAAGTGTTAGTCCAGGTAAAGAACCAATGGTAAAGTGTTAGTCCAGGTAAAGAACCAATGGTAAAGTGTTAGCCCAGGTAAAGAACCAATGGTAAAGTGTTAGCCCAGGTAAAGAACCAATGGTAAAGTGTTAGCCCAGGTAAAGAACCAATGGTAAAGTGTTAGCCCAGGTAAAGAACCAATGGTAAAGTGTTAGCCCAGGTAAAGAACCAATGGTAAAGTGTTAGCCCAGGTAAAGTACCAATGGTAAAGTGTTAGCCCAGGTAAAGAACCAATGGTAAAGTGTTAGCCCAGGTAAAGAACCAATGGTAAAGTGTTAGCCCAGGTAAAGAACCAATGGTAAAGTGTTAGCCCAGGTAAAGAACCAATGGTAAAGTGTTAGCCCAGGTAAAGAACCAATGGTAAAGTGTTAGCCCAGGTAAAGAACCAATGGTAAAGTGTTAGCCCAGGTAAAGAACCAATGGTAAAGTGTTAGCCCAGGTAAAGAACCAATGGTAAAGTGTTAGCCCAGGTAAAGAACCAATGGTAAAGTGTTAGTCCAGGTAAAGAACCAATGGTAAAGTGTTAGCCCAGGTAAAGAACCAATGGTAAAGTGTTAGCCCAGGTAAAGAACCAATGGTAAAGTGTTAGCCCAGGTAAAGAACCAATGGTAAAGTGTTAGTCCAGGTAAAGAACCAATGGTAAAGTGTTAGCCCAGGTAAAGAACCAATGGTAAAGTGTTAGCCCAGGTAAAGAACCAATGGTAAAGTGTTAGCCCAGGTAAAGAACCAATGGTAAAGTGTTAGCCCAGGTAAAGAACCAATGGTAAAGTGTTAGCCCAGGTAAAGAACCAATGGTAAAGTGTTAGCCCAGGTAAAGAACCAATGGTAAAGTGTTAGCCCAGGTAAAGAACCAATGGTAAAGTGTTAGCCCAGGTAAAGAACCAATGGTAAAGTGTTAGCCCAGGTAAAGAACCAATGGTAAAGTGTTAGCCCAGGTAAAGAACCAATGGTAAAGTGTTAGCCCAGGTAAAGAACCAATGGTAAAGTGTTAGCCCAGGTAAAGAACCAATGGTAAAGTGTTAGCCCAGGTAAAGAACCAATGGTAAAGTGTTAGCCCAGGTAAAGAACCAATGGTAAAGTGTTAGCCCAGGTAAAGAACCAATGGTAAAGTGTTAGCCCAGGTAAAGAACCAATGGTAAAGTGTTAGCCCAGGTAAAGAACCAATGGTAAAGTGATAGCCCAGGTAAAGAACCAATGGTAAAGTGTGTGTGACAGACTCAAGGTTAACATGAGTTAAAGGTCAGGGTTATGATGAACATGGAACCTGACAGCCATTTTTTGGTTTTGCTAAAGATCGGGTTCTGGTTAAATTTTAACTTCTGGTTCTGATTAATGTTCCAGTTCCATTTCTGGGTTTAATTTCAGGAAGCCATTACCATTATAGTTATGGCTTTGGTTCAAGTTTCCAGATTCTGATTAAAGATACTATTTGAGGAGAAGTTGTGGTATTTAGTTAAAGTTTAGCTACTGGTTAAACGTCCAGTTTCAGGCAGTGTTGTGGTTAAATTGTCAATTCTGGTTACATAACAGTTTCTGGTGAAAGTTCTGTTTAAAAATTTCCAGTTCTGGATAAAGGTTCAGTTTTAGGAAAAATTTCCGATGCCAGTTATAGTTCCTTGTCCAGATGTTATTTTGGTTCACTTTACATATACAATGTCTAGGTGTCAAATCTATGACAGATTTACAATGTCTAGGTGTCAAATCTATGACAGATTTACAATGTCTAGGTGTCAAATCTATGACAGATTTACAATGTCTAGGTGTCAAATCTATGACAGATTTACCATGAATGTACAGAAAATATTTGTGACCTGACAAATTGTGCCATAAAGTCAGGGTTTAGCATCTATACGCAAAAAGACTAATGTTCTGGTATCCAGTTCTGCTCAAAGTTCTTGTATCCAGTTCTGCTCAAAGTTCTTGTATCCAGTTCTGCTCAAAGTTCTTGTATCCAGTTCTGCTCAAAGTTCTTGTATCCAGTTCTGCTCAAAGTTCTTGTATCCAGTTCTGCTCAAAGTTCTTGTATCCAGTTCTGCTCAAAGTTCTTGTATCCAGTTCTGCTCAAAGTTCTTGTATCCAGTTCTGCTCAAAGTTCTTGTATCCAGTTCTGCTCAAAGTTCTTGTATCCAGTTCTGCTCAAAGTTCTTGTATCCAGTTCTGCTCAAAGTTCTTGTATCAGGTTATTCCTACTGTCCAGTTTAAATTATCAGTTTCAATTAAGGTTCAAATTAAATGTCTGGTTTCTGTTCAGAGTTTTAGGTTTGGGCTAAGATTTGGTTTAGTGGTAGTAAAAGTTCTGGCTCCAGTTCCTGTTACATTTCAATGTCAGGTTCCAGTTGAAGCTTTGTTACCTGTTACATTTCAATGTCAGGTTCCAGTTGAATCTTTGTTACCTGTTACATTTATGATTCCAGTTCCAGTTAAGTTCCAGTTTGGTTAAATGCCAGTTCAGGTTAAATCTCCGGATTCAAGTTCCAACTTCCAGACTAACTATTGTTCCAGTTTAATTTAGTTCTCAATGTATTCGGTTCCAATGTTCATGTGTAGTTTTGGGTTTAGATTTTGGTGGAGATTTTTGTTTTCGTTTAGAGAAAACACATTGGTCAAATGCCTGTTTGGCAGAAAATAAAAGAAACACATTGGTCAAATGCCTGTTTGGCAGAAAAAAAAAGAATGTCCTTACCCAAGATCTCAGAGCCAAGGTGATTGGATGTCTGCTGTACGGCCTTTAGAACCCTAGAATATTCAAGGGCAACACCAGTCATTAGCACAACAGAATTTCATTGGATCAATTCATGTAAACACAAAGATCATAATTAGAACCTTAAGCCAACAATAGGGACAACAACAACATTGGCTACCTGGGGCTTAGGACAAACACAATAGACTGGCTACCTGGGACATGTGATAGACTGGCTACCTGGGACATGTGACAGATACAATAGACTGGCTACCTGGGACATGTGACAGATACAATAGACTGGCTACCTGGGACATGTGACAGATACAATAGACTGGCTACCTGGGACATGTGACAGATACAATAGACTGGCTACCTGGGACATGTGACAGATACAATAGACTGGCTACCTGGGACATGTGACAGACTGGCTACCTGGGACATATGACAGATACAATAGACTGGCTACCTGGGACATGTGACAGATACAATAGACTGGCTACCTGGGACATATGACAGATACAATAGACTGGCTACCTGGGACATGTGACAGATACAATAGACTGGCTACCTGGGACATGTGACAGATACAATAGACTGGCTACCTGGGACATGTGACAGATACAATAGACTGGCTACCTGGGACATGTGACAGATACAATAGACTTGCTACCTGGGACATGTGACAGATACAATAGACTTGCTACCTGGGACATGTGACAGATACAATAGACTGGCTACCTGGGACATGTGACAGACTGGCTACCTGGGACATGTGACAGACTGGCTACCTGGAACTTGTGACAGATACAATAGACTGGCTACCTGGGACATGTGACAGATACAATAGACTGGCTACCTGGGACATGTGACAGATACAATAGACTGGCTACCTGGGACATGTGACAGATACAATAGACTGGCTACCTGGGACATGTGACAGATACAATAGACTGGCTACCTGGAACATGTGACAGATACAATAGACTGGCTACCTGGGACTTAAGACAGATACAATAGACTGGCTACCTGGGACATGTGACAGATACAATAGACTGGCTACCTGGGACTTAAGACAGATACAATAGACTGGCTACCTGGGACATGTGACAGATACAATAGACTGGCTACCTGGGACATGTGACAGATACAATAGACTGGCTACCTGGGACATGTGACAGATACAATAGACTGGCTACCTGGGACAAGTGACAGATACAATAGACTGGCTACCTGGGACATGTGACAGATACAATAGACTGGCTACCTGGGACATGTGACAGATACAATAGACTGGCTACCTGGGACATGTGACAGACTGGCTACCTGGGACATATGACAGATACAATAGACTGGCTACCTGGGACATGTGACAGATACAATAGACTGGCTACCTGGGACATATGACAGATACAATAGACTGGCTACCTGGGACATGTGACAGATACAATAGACTGGCTACCTGGGACATGTGACAGATACAATAGACTGGCTACCTGGGACATGTGACAGATACAATAGACTGGCTACCTGGGACATGTGACAGATACAATAGACTTGCTACCTGGGACATGTGACAGATACAATAGACTGGCTACCTGGGACATGTGACAGACTGGCTACATGGGACATGTGACAGACTGGCTACCTGGAACTTGTGACAGATACAATAGACTGGCTACCTGGGACATGTGACAGATACAATAGACTGGCTACCTGGGACATGTGACAGATACAATAGACTGGCTACCTGGGACATGTGACAGATACAATAGACTTGCTACCTGGGACATGTGACAGATACAATAGACTGGCTACCTGGAACATGTGACAGATACAATAGACTGGCTACCTGGGACTTAAGACAGATACAATAGACTGGCTACCTGGGACATGTGACAGATACAATAGACTGGCTACCTGGGACTTAAGACAGATACAATAGACTGGCTACCTGGGACATGTGACAGATACAATAGACTGGCTACCTGGGACATGTGACAGATACAATAGACTGGCTACCTGGGACATGTGACAGATACAATAGACTGGCTACCTGGGACAAGTGACAGATACAATAGACTGGCTACCTGGGACATGTGACAGATACAATAGACTGGCTACCTGGGACATGTGACAGATACAATAGACTGGCTACCTGGGACAGATACAATAGACTGGCTACCTGGGACATGTGACAGACACAATAGACTTGCTACCGGGACATGTGACAGATACAATAGACTGGCTACCTGGGACATGTGACAGATACAATAGACTGGCTACCTGGGACATGTGACAGATACAATAGACTGGCTACCTGGGACAGATACAATAGACTGGCTACCTGGGACATGTGACAGATACAATAGACTGGCTACCTGGGACATGTGACAGATACAACAGACTGGCTACCTGGGACTTGTGACAGATACAATAGACTGGCTACCTGGGACTTAAGACAGATACAATAGACTGGCTACCTGGGACATGTGACAGATACAATAGACTGGCTACCTGGGACATGTGACAGATACAATAGACTGGCTACCTGGGACATGTGGCGGATACAATAGACTTGCTACCTGGGACATGTGACAGATACAATAGACTGGCTACCTGGGACATGTGACAGATACAATAAACTTGCTACCTGGGACATGTGACAGATACAATAGACTGGCTACCTGGGACATGTGACAGATACAATAGACTGGCTACCTGGGACATGTGACAGATACAATAGACTGGCTACCTGGGACATGTGACAGATACAATAGACTGGCTACCTGGGACATGTGACAGATACAATAGACTGGCTACCTGGGACAGATACAACAGACTGGCTACCTGGGACATGTGGCAGATACAATAGACTGGCTACCTGGGACATGTGACAGATACAACAGACTGGCTACCTGGGACTTGTGACAGATACAATAGACTGGCTACCTGGGACATGTGACAGATACAATAGACTTGCTACCTGGGACATGTGACAGATACAATAGACTGGCTACCTGGGACATGTGACAGATACAATAGACTGGCTACCTGGGACATGTGACAGATACAATAGACTGGCTACCTGGGACATGTGACAGATACAATAGACTGGCTACCTGGGACATGTGACAGATACAATAGACTGGCTACCTGGGACTTAAGACAGATACAATAGACTGGCTACCTGGGACATGTGACAGATACAATAGACTGGCTACCTGGGACATGTGACAGATACAATAGACTGGCTACCTGGGACATGTGACAGATACAATAGACTGGCTACCTGGGACATGTGACAGATACAATAGACTGGCTACCTGGGACATGTGACAGATACAATAGACTGGCTACCTGGGACATGTGACAGATACAATAGACTGGCTACCTGGGACATGTGACAGACTGGCTACCTGGGACATGTGACAGATACAATAGACTGGCTACCTGGGACATGTGATAGACTGGCTACCTGGGACATGTGACAGATACAATAGACAGGCTACCTGGGACATGTGACAGATACAATAGACTGGCTACCTGGGACATGTGACAGATACAATAGACTGGCTACCTGGGACATGTGACAGACTGGCTACCTGGGACATGTGACAGACTGGCTACCTGGAACTTGTGACAGATACAATAGACTGGCTACCTGGGACATGTGACAGATACAATAGACTGGCTACCTGGGACATGTGACAGATACAATAGACTGGCTACCTGGGACATGTGACAGATACAATAGACTGGCTACCTGGGACATGTGACAGATACAATAGACTGGCTACCTGGGACATGTGACAGATACAACAGACTGGCTACCTGGGACATGTGACAGATACAATAGACTTGCTACCTGGGGTTTAAGACAGATACAATAGACTGGCTACCTGGGACATGTGACAGATACAATAGACTGGCTACCTGGGACATGTGACAGATACAATAGACTGGCTACTGGGACATGTGACAGATACAATAGACTGGCTACCTGGGACATGTGACAGATACAACAGACTGGCTACCTGGGACTTGTGACAGATACAACAGACTGGCTACCTGGGACATGTGACAGATACAATAGACTGGCTACCGGGACATGTGACAGATACAATAGACTGGCTACCTGGGACTTGTGACAGATACAACAGACTGGCTACCAGGGACATGTGACAGATACAATAGACTGGCTACCTGGGACATGTGACAGACTGGCTACCTGGGACATGTGACAGATACAATAGACTGGCTACCTGGGACATGTGACAGATACAATAGACTGGCTACCTGGGACAGATACAATAGACTGGCTACCTGGGACATGTGACAGATACAATAGACTGGCTACCTGGGACATGTGACAGATACAATAGACTGGCTACCTGGGACATGTGACAGATACAATAGACTGGCTACCTGGGACATGTGACAGATACAATAGACTGGCTACCTGGGACATGTGACAGACTGGCTACCTGGGACATGTGACAGATACAATAGACTGGCTACCTGGGACATGTGATAGACTGGCTACCTGGGACATGTGACAGATACAATAGACTGGCTACCTGGGACATGTGACAGATACAATAGACTGGCTACCTGGGACATGTGACAGATACAATAGACTGGCTACCTGGGACATGTGACAGACTGGCTACCTGGGACATGTGACAGACTGGCTACCTGGAACTTGTGACAGATACAATAGACTGGCTACCTGGGACATGTGACAGATACAATAGACTGGCTACCTGGGACATGTGACAGATACAATAGACTGGCTACCTGGGACATGTGACAGATACAATAGACTGGCTACCTGGGACATGTGACAGATACAACAGACTGGCTACCTGGGACATGTGACAGATACAATAGACTTGCTACCTGGGGTTTAAGACAGATACAATAGACTGGCTACCTGGGACATGTGACAGATACAATAGACTGGCTACCTGGGACTTGTGACAGATACAACAGACTGGCTACCTGGGACTTGTGACAGATACAACAGACTGGCTACCGGGACATGTGACAGATA